AAAATGAATGGAGTACTTGTAATGAGAGGTCTGGAGCTGCTGGCTTGTCCCGTGGTTACACAGAGCAGTTGATATAACACATTACCAAAAGCAGTTGATATAACATTACCAAAATCTGTTTCTTTCACATAAGAATATTTTATCCGTTTTATCTGATACTGGAGCTGCCCAGAACCTTACATGCCATGCAGTCTCTTGCTGCCCATCAGTGGGGCTAAGAGCTGTTGATGATAAGCCGTGAAAAGCCTCATGAACCTCATCTTTCAGCTCTCAGGGCTGGCTGGGAGGGTGGCACCTGGGTTGGAAACTGCAGCACTGCAGTGAATTGGGGTGCAGCTCTCTGTGTGCAAGGTGGTGGTGGCCTGGCTTCAGCTGCAGAGCTTCACAGCAGGCTGTATCCCTGCCTGGGCACTGCATGAGTGTCATCCACCAGCACTGTTTGGAGAGTGAGTTTTAAAGATAATTGCACCCTGGGGAAAGCAAAATCCAAGCCAACTGTTTCCAATGGGCATTCCACAACCAGCTTGCTGCTGGCCGTAGGCTCTCTTTAACAGTGTTTTTCCTAGGTTGTTTTCAAGAACTACTTAATTTTATGGGGGATGGTTAAACGATTATTTATTATTTGTAACTAAGGCAGGGGAGTTGGACTTGGAAATGTGGGTTTGCTTTATGATTTTGCTGACTTGTCCCTTTGTGTTGTGACTTCTTTGTCTTCGTGGCAGAGCTGACGATTTGTGTCTGTCATTTGGGACAGCTGCAAGAATAGATTGATTCATTAACACTGGTGAGACAGTAATACAGTCAGATAACTTACTAAATAATGTGACTTTTTCTTCTCATCCAAGTTGTGATACACTTTTTGCCTTCACTTGTGCCAAACACAGCCCAGTCACAGCCCTGGGATGCATGAGAACCTCAGTGTCAGTGAGGATGGTGACTGTCGATATGATTTGTATCACTTCTCATTATACTGCGTGCCTTCAGATCAGCCCTTTTGGTATGGAATGAGCCCTGAAAGACAAATTATGTAGTCATGTTTGATGAAGCTTAAAAGACGTTGCAGTACATCATCTTCTATTTATGATCTGCCAAAACAGTTGGCTTAAGGACTGTGAGGTTGCTTGCTCTTTTTATTTATAAGCTTTTTCTGCTGATTGACTTATCATCCCCTCCTTCCAGTTAACTCTGTCATTGAGTTTATGCAGTTTTGCATTAGATGCCAATGCACATTCTTCTTTCTTACTATATCTTCAGATATATCCATATGTGGCTAATACACTCAGAGGCTAACAAATAGGGTTTGTTTTTTTACGTACATTAACTGATGTCTTACAACATAGAACTGCTGCCAGGCAGAATTGAGGGGTTGATTTGACACATCTTCAGAAAGAGCTTCTTCCAAAAGAGCTTTAACAACACTTCCTTATGGCTACTGAAGTCAGCAGAGCTTCTGCCAAGCCACCAGCTGGCACTGGTGGAGTGCAGACCTCCTGCTGTAGCTCTGGCTGTTGGTCCACGTGCAGATATCAGTCAAACTGCATGAGAAGCCAGGGGCTTCTGAAGGAGAGATTGCTTTTGAGTGGGCTTAGCTTCCAGGTCTGCCAAAGCAGGTAGCAGAACGTTACGACTTCCCTTAGTATTAACTCACTGCAGGTGTGGGCTTAGGATTACTTATGGTTTTACTGATTTTAAACACCTCCTCTGGAAAACTGCTGCTTCATAAATACAGGCTCAAGTTGCCCAGAGATGGAATCTTCATACCTGGAGATGCTCAGAACTGGAAGAGATGTGGTCCTGGGCAGTGGGACCTGCACTGGGCAGGAGGTGGCACTGGGTGACCTCTGGTGTTCTCTTCTGACCTGCATGATTCCATGATACTACAAACCAGAGCTGATGTCGAACAATCTCTTACCTTCACTGTGGTCATTGGAGTCAGTGAACATACAGAACAAATGGCTTAATTACTTCACCTGCTCTCTGAGGGTCTCCTAGCAAGTAATAAAAAGTAGTGAATGAAACTGCTTTCCTCCATCTCCCATCAATAAAGGATGGTAAGAAAGAGTTAAGGAAAGACTTGATTAGGATCACAGTGACAGAATGGGATTAATCTGCTGCTAAGGTTCTATTAGATGTGCTCTTTGTGGCATGGTACTTATTAACCTGAAGTGATAAATGACACTGCGGCTTCATGCAGTGGTTCTGGCGAAGAGAAGCAAAAACTGCTCTGCTGTTTGTGCTTTCCAGGCTCAGAACCTGTGTGGACCATAAGCAGATGGCAGCTGCCTGGTTAGCCTCACTCTTCTGAGTGGGCAGGAAAAAACCTGCTAGCTCAGTGAGTCTTAGTCTCCCATAGGTGTGCATGATAGCAGTGCAGGTGTCTGCAATGCTATCAAACCAGTGTTTAATAGCTAAATGTCTGCAGGGTTACTGATTGCGGGTTTGTGGGGTCCAGTTGGGGTTCTTAGGAAGGAGTCAGTGTATCTTCTGTGGCAGCAAACGGCTTGGCAGAGGGATGAGAGCAAGGGTAAGCCTGAACAACCCTTGGTCCTAGGGCTAAAATCCTCTTTGGAGGAAAGAAGGCAGCAGGGTGCAGGGAGGTGATGCTGCGAGCCTGTCGCCAAAGCAGGTGAGGTGCTGGGAGATGGTGAAAGCTGGATTTGGTGAAGGCAAAAGCACCTTTTAGTGCAGGAGGCTGGGAGCAGTGCCAGAAGATCCAGACACAATTCCAGGAAGCAAAAGGAAGGAGGGGCTGTTACCAGCAGTGATTGTTTCGTTTGGTAATTAGTCCTGAATTCTCCTCTAAGGCAAATAAAGCAGAGGATGTGAGCTTCTGAGAGCTCCCCCCTCCTCTTCCCTGCACATCCACACCCTTTCTTGCACGTTCTCTTTCTCAAGTCTGTGTTCACTCAGGTTTGATGGTAAGGAGCTCTGGGTAGTGTTTGTTGCTCTCTTTGCTCTGACTCTGAGTAGTTCCTAACCTGATTTAAGCAGAAGATTGCATATGCTGGAACAAGGATGCACACATCTCAATCTTGCCAGCAGCTGTATGGAGGAAACAAGCATCCCCTTTTTTGCAGGGAATCTCTAGCTGTGTGTGAGCAGGGGATGTGTTTCGTGCTGTCAGGTGGTTCTTGCTGACAGATCAGGTGCATCACCTCATCTTCCTTGTGCTGCTGGTTTGAGTGGTTCCAGATTACAAAGTTCTGCTCAGACTGAAGCATGTGACTGCCTCTGTTTGTAGCCCTTTGCTCCCTTCTCCCCTCCCTGAGAGCTGGAAGGGGCTGCTGCTTTAGTGCAAGTCACCATTTGCAGAACAGTGCTACTTGAAATTAGTGGCTGCTGCAGCATTGGATGTTCTTGGCACTGCTCCTTGCTACCCAAAGCAAGCTGGGATTACAGTCTGTCCTCCTCTTGCCTCATAGCTCCAGGCTATATTTAGTAGTTGGAGTTGCAACAGATCTGAAGTCGTTCCCCTTAGCTGCAGCAGAAAGCTGATGCCGTGGCAGGGAGCACTGAGGGGGGGTGGCTGGTTCTCCATCAGGAGGACAACTGGAGCAGCCTGTGCAGCACTGCAGGGAATCCCCACTGCTGTATGTGTCAGGTGCAAAAGGGCCCCCAGCACCTCACAGCCAGCATCTTCTCAGTCTTATTCCTTGCGTTTTACAGCAGAACTTCTGCTTCTGGTTGTCACTTGCACTTGGTTGGTGTGTCCTTATCTTTATATTTAAAAAAAAAAAAAAAAGAATGCTGTCATTCCAAACACGCAGCTGTCAAGATAAAATGATTTACAGCATCTTTTTCTCCAGTCCCATTATTGGATCTTTGTTGAACGCTCTCTGCAGGACTCTGAAACACAAAAGGTAACATCTGAATTTCAGACTGGGGCTGGAGATCTGTGCCAAGCTGAAATCCTCTGTCTGCACACAGCTTGCAGCTCTGGAATTACAGGTGTGAGAGCTTCTTAAAGCACTGAGTGCTGATTTCAGTGGGGCTGCTCTTAATTGCCTCTGTAGAGTCGAGTTATAAACAACTAAAATCAGTGCTGAAATTTCATGATCTGTTCCTTATTGCCAAAAGGTGAAGGGGGGGAGGACAGATGCTCTAGGGATTAAATGAATATTTTAAAGCATTTTTTCCCAATAGTAGGAGCAGGGTGAAGGCTGCCTAATATTGAACTGCAAGCCATTAACACTGCAAATACCTGCAGAGAGAGAGAAGGATGTTTTAAACAAAAAAAAAATTAGAAGTGAAAGAATTAGTGGTGTTCTTTATCCCTAATTTTCCAAGAGGAGTCATTGAAAAGAAACTGTTTGCTCTGATCTCCTCTCTCCTCCTTCCTTTATGGTCCCTTTTTCCTTTCTCATTATCTGCCCCCCTTCTATGCACACTCAGTTACTTCGTGGCCGTTGTGGTTTTCTCTACGCAGCAACAAGAAAGACAAAAACATAAATAAAGGAAAATGTGGTTGGGGAACCGCAGCCTTGCGTTGGGTTGGAGAGACTTTGGGTTGGCTTCTTTAAAGCTGAGAGATTGTCAGAAGCAAATGGTCTCCATTACCCTGAGGTGGGCTGGGGAGTGCAAGAAAGAAAAGCTCCAATAGCCCTCCTGGAGGACTCGTGTCAGACATTTGCTTTTGTTTTTCTAAGCAGCTATAAAAAGTGGCAATAAAACGGCGTGCAAATAAACTTTTTTTGTGGAGTTTCCTTCCACCCGAGGGAGGCTGTTGGGAGCAGACAGCTGAGCTCTGCGGTGCTGGGGAGAAGCCAAGCTGGAGTCTGTGGTGTAGCAACTGAATGCATTCTCTTAATGCCTCATTAGTGAGTGTGTACACCTTCTGCCTCGGCTGGTGTGGCAGGAAAGCCCAGCACAGTGCTGTCTGTGGGCTGACAAGCCCTGAGGTTCCTTACCATTGCCTTGGTAGCCCATACCAGCGTCTAATTCTGGTGTGATGTCATTTCAACCTCTTGACTTTCTTTCTCTTGCTGTTGTTTTTCTGGCAGGGTGGTGAAGGAGGAGATCTCGGATGACAATGCAAAGCTGCCCTGCTTCAATGGAAGAGTGGTGTCCTGGGTAAGTCAGCCTGTGTCTGTGTGCCTGCTGTCTGCAATGGGCACAGCAGCAAGGGGGGGTGATGGTGGCAAGGGCTTCTCTTCCCTCTGCTGAACCATCAGCTGAAGCCTGGCCTGTGTTACCAATTCCACATAACTTTGTCCATACTCACATCCATCAAATTGTGGTGCTTGTCTGCATCTGTTTGCTGCTAATTGTAGGGGAGATCTTACTGTGAGTTAATTGTTCACAGTTTGGAGCACTTTAATATGCTGTTCCCTGGGATGGAGCAGTTAATTGCATCCATCTATTTTAGGGCAAGCAGAGTTGGTTTTTACCTTTTAGAAAGACCACGTTTGGGGCAGGGTTGTTTCCTTGTTCAATTACCAGCATGATGGATCCCAATCTTCCTTGTCAGAATATGTGCATCAGCTAGTGGCAGATAGCTTGGGATTCTTTCACAAGCCATCAGTGGTATTTGTCATCCTCAGTGTAAATTATTGCAATGTATGGATGTATATTTCTCATCCAGACAACACACTTAAAATTGAAACATTAAGTGCATCCAATACAGCTTAGCTGTCTCCTCCCCCTAGCTCCTCTCTTCACTGATGCAGTGACTACTTTGAACTTCTCAAGATGACTGATGTTGAGAAATTTGAGTTTCATCTTTTTTAATAACGTTTGAATCCTTCTATTTGTCATAGGTGGGCATTTTGATCTTAGTGTCATATGCAGGACTGATTTCCACAGGAGGAAAGCATTCAAGGAAGGGTCTGCAAGACTTCAGTTGCTGCTTACTTTTGCTGCCCTGGAACTCAGTGCACAGTTAGATTAGCATTAAATTGGAGTCAGTGCTCCTCATTAGATATTTAGACCTCTTCCACATGCCACCTGTGTCCCACTTGTTTTTCTCTGCATCTCATCCTTTTGATTTTGGAATGGGTTATTTTAATTGAATAAATAAGACGGGACAGAGGGTTGCTGCTTACTAGATTTATAGATTGCCTTTTCCCTGGTTGACTTTTTTGTTGTTGTTTTTTCAGTGATAGAGAGACTATCATTGGTTATATGGCAGAGTCCTTCACATAGAACTTAATAGTGTTAACACAAACATATCCTATTTCCTTCCAGGTTCAGTGAAGACAAAAGGGAGGAGTTTGGAACTCCATGTAGCATGGAAAAAGTAACCATCCTTACAATGCTGTATTTGAGATTTCCCTTGTCCCAGATTGCAGGACCAAGAAAATGCACAAAACATTGCTTCTTGGATGTAATTAGTTGGTCTCAGAGAAGGCAGGCTTACACCCTGTTGTGACTGGTGTCTCATTGTTGTGTTTTGCCATTTGTTGTCAGAAATCTCATGCAGTTTGTTCTGGACGTAGGGCAGAGTAGGTATTTCTGTGCCAAAATAACAGCTCGTGTCTGGGGTTGCCATCAATCTCTGGCCTGATGAATTTGCTTTCAGTGTTGCAGTAGCAAAGGATGAAGCTTGCTGTTGATACAGCTCTTCCCTTCTCATTAGCATAGTGTTTTAATTTTGCTGCATGCAGCTCTAGACGTAGCACCCTAACTTCCCCTCCCTGCTTCCTTTCCCTTTGGCCAAGTGTGTTAAATCGCACAGCGCCCTTCAGTGTAGTTCAGGATGCTGAGCAGCAACACAGGCCCTCATCAGCTTTTTCCACTGCCTGTTTTGCTTTGGACATTTTGCCCTCCTGCCCTTTTCCTCATTTCCTTGCCACAGCCTGCCCTCCTGATGAACTTTATCTCCAGAGCCTTTCAGTGCACTCCTGCTCTAACAGTGGCTGTGGTTCTCCTTGCTTTGTAGAAGCACTGAACAAGACGTTTGTGTATTTCCACAGAAGCAGATTTCACTTTTTACAGGGCAGTGAGCAGTCCATCTTTATGCCACCTGAGCAAAATGCAGTGATTTTAGGGGTGTGTGATGTGCACTCAGGTGCTCCAGGCCTCTTTGGACAGGCAGTGTGTGCTCAGTTGTGGCTGCTCTGCAGAGACAACAGATGTGAGCTGCAGAGCCCTCACTAAGCAGCTCTCTGGAGCTCTGCTGGAGCCCTGGGACAGGGTGTGTGTTCTGCCTTTCATTAGTGTTCATGCAAGAACCACGACATAATTTGTCACATGCAAATGAACGCTGTCTGACAGTGTGGATCTAAATTGGGTTTCAGCTCTGCGCTGCTGTGCAGCCTGTGTGGTTTGGGTTCTGCACTCTGTGAACACGAGATGCAGGAATGATCCCAAACTTTCAGTTCCAATTGCAACTGACTTGCAAACAACATTGCTTTTCATTCAGTGCATCTGATCAGGTGTTACAGAAAGGCTGTAAAGAGTGCTTGAAGATTCAAGGCAAAGTGAAAGAACATGGAAACCAAAACCAAACTGTGTGTTTGGTGGAGTACAAGTGTTGGAATTCTCTGTGGCTATTAGGAGCTGCTTCTTCCCATTCTTTGTAATTACTGGCACGTGTGCAGATGCTGCTTGGCACCAGCATGGGCTTGTGTGACTTATGGCTGGAGATGGAATCAGGTTTGGGGAGAAGGAGGCGAGAAGGTAAAATTCAAGCATAAAACGTTATTCCATTCTCCTTGCTGAGGGCAGGGCCAGCTCGTGGTGGAAGCTGGGAATGAGGAAGGAGTTGGCTGGTGGCCACAGCCGGGTCTGAGCCAGCTGCCTGCCCCTGCCAGCCCTTCTTTAGGAAGGCTTTGTGACATCTGGGAGCAGTTCCCTGGCTGGCTGCTGGGGATGTGCACCATCTATTGGCTGGCAGTGATGTCAGAGCCTTCTTCCTCTTTTTTTTTTTCCCTCTATTAGCTAGGTGCCAACAGATAATGCTTGTCCTGTGTGTATGTAAGCTTTTAGGCACTGTGTTTGCACTTAGAGCTGGGGGATAGAAGCATTATGCCTTCTCCCATACTAAGAACTCAGGAGCAGTAGAAGCTCTAAGTGATGCTCAGCAAAGTGCATTGTTGCCTTTTGACATGTAATTGAGGCCATGATTGAAGATCAGTGTGAACAGATTCTGGTTGGTTTCTGATGTTTAAAATGAAGGGATTTCAGGGCCTTTTTCTTCACAGGTGATAAGTGCCCATGCTCACTGGAACGGAGTGCTAGGGCCTCTATGGGAAAGAGGAGGTGGGAAAGGAGCAGACAGTTGGGCAGGAAGAGAGGGGAACTTGAAGGACAGTGGAAAGAATGTGGCAGGTGAGGGGAGGCTGCAAATCTCTGGGATGTGAGGGTCTTCTCTTGGCAAAAGTAAGGCTGGATGGTTCTGCTCTGCTGTGCATGGGAACTCTGAGGTTAGGTGCAGGTGTCTGTGATTTTACAGGAAATGCTCTCAACCTGTAGCTGAGCACAGCACTGTGAAGTTACTGTCACAAATACCAGTGGCTCTTCTTGTGTATTCAGCAGCTGCTTTCAGTCCCTCACTCCCCTCTATGGTAAGAGGGGTGCTGAGAGCTGCTGCTGCTCCCAGTAGCAGAGGCAGTTCAAATAATGTAATTTCCATGCTCACGTACTGCTTGGTGTTTAGGCAGATGAGATGTGAGAGCAGGGCTCACCACTGTTCACTCCTTCCCCTTCCCAGACTGGTTCTCTTTTGACATATTCAGCCATGAGTGTTGGCTGGGCTGGTTCCTTGAGCTGCCTTCGTGTCTGAGCAGGTTTGTTGTGCTGGGTGGCTGCGGAGTGCAGGCTGCTATAAAAGGCAGCCTTCTCCATAATTAAGGTAAAAGCATAAGCAAATATGGTGTGGAGGAGAAAAAGGGAAATGGAGAGAGGTGAAGCAATGGGTTCAAGCACTCAGTGCAGCGCGGTGGTAGCAGTGATGAGAGGAACCTGACACTGTGAGCTCCCTGGCTTGGTGGCACTGCTTGGGAGCGTCAGCTTTGTTTGCATTTCAGAGTCCGGGTGCCTTCCTGCAAGTGCTGTGGTGGGATGGCATTGGCTGCAGAGCAAACAGCACTCAGTGTGATGGAATGAACTGAATCAACAGTTGCAATTAGTTCCACACTGCTTTATTAACTTCCTCCATGTGAACCACACAGAAGTCATCCACGTTTCCCATTGAAATGCAGCCCTTTGGGGTGCAGCCCAGCAGCTGTTGCACAGCCTGAGCAGCAGCAGCACAGTGTAAGCAAAGAAGTGGAATAAAATGCTGCTGCCAGTCAGAGCTGCAGGGTGAAATCCATTTATCAGGGCTGGATCCTGGCTGTGAGGCTGGGGTTCGCACTGCTTTATTTCATAATCATGGAATCATAGAGTCGTTAAGGTTGGAAAAGATCTAAGATCATCCAGCCCAACCATCAGCCCACCACCACCACATCCACTGCACCATGCACTGCTTAGGAAGAATGCGCCTTCCAAAATGGTGGGGAGCAAGTCAAATCAAAAAGCATCATCTAGAATTACAGGTGAGCTTCCACATGTGTTTGATTGAATCATAGAATCGTTTGAGTTCTCGTGGAAGCACAGGGAGAAGTCTGTGTGTCCCACAGCACATCTTCTCTGTTTTAAATAGTACAGTATGGGAGCATTTTATTCCTTCCATAGCATCCCAAAGGAAAGTTCATCATGAAGCTCATAGGATCCTAAACAATCTAAGGAGCATTCCCTTTGTTAGTGGAGAACAATAAGAACCTGATTGTTCTAGAACTAATCTTTGATAGATGAACCAAACAGGCATGCTGGATGGAGATGGTCTTTCTGTCCTGAAGTTACTGCAAGCGAGGTTGAGTATAGGAAGTGTCTAGTGTGACATGTCCATCTCTGTGACTCATTATTCCACAGCCTTCCTTGTAGTAATTGGGATGTTGATAGGAAATAAAAATTATATTTCCAGCACTGGTCTTTATGGGGAGGATTTACAGCCTTCTGTGGTGCTCACAGGAGCTTTGTGCATCCTAGCTGATAATGTTTTCACTTTGAGCTTGAATGTAATATGATTTTATGAAGGGTTGGCAGGAATTTGTGCAAGTGGACACTGAGCACTTCTTCTCTTCTTGTCTCTCATAGATACTCACAGAGTGTGTAGCAAAGCAGCAACCCCCAGGCACGTGTCAGGACGGAGGAACCTGTGCAGATATGTTGTAATTCTCTTCTTTTTCTTGGCAGCTGGTCCTGGCTGAAGGCTCCCATTCTGACACAGGCTCACAGTGCACCGAGAGCCACGCAGACCTTCCACCTCCCATCGAGAGGACGGGTGGCATTGGAGACTCCCGGCCTCCGTCGTTCCAGTAAGAGCAAGTTGGCTTTATGTTACTTCTTTAAACCAAAAACGTGGTTCCTTGGTGTCTATTCCATACATTTCTCCCTGCTGCTGCTGCAAGCTGGCTGTTTGTTGGTACTGTTAAAAAGCAATATGCTTGTTAGAGCTAAGGAAGGCTGGTACTGCTGTGCTCTTGAATGTTGCTTACATTAAGCCTGAACTATGCTAAACTTTGAAGAGTTGAAGTGGTGAATTTTATCACTTTCCATTATTATAAATGTGGTGTCTGTGCATTGAAACTTTGCACTGTAAATCAAGAAGCAGTAAATTCACTCCAGTTGCTGCACAGTGAACAGGAGCGATTGGCAGACGAGCTTTCACGAGGGCTAGAGCAGTGCTGGAGCACCCACAACTGAGCTGAAGCCTGTGTTCCTGCCTTCTCCTGCACTAGCTGCCAGAATACTGCTTTTTCTTTTCTCTCTGGGTAACCAGATGGTGGTATTCTCCAAGCCTTTCGTGCATCTGTTGTACATTTGGTGTTAAAGTCCAGAAGTCCTTTTTCTATATGTGTGGGAAATCTGCCCCATCTGTCTTGAGGCGTGACGAGTGTCATTTGCTAACGAAGCTGAACTGTCAGGGCCTCTCATGTCTGCAGTTTGGCAGAGTTTCTCCTGCTCATCACATCTGTGAGTATTGATGCTCTCATTTGAAGCCCTTTTTGCTGCAGGGACTGCAGTGTCAAGCAGCCCTTGGATGCAGGGGGTTAACAGTTGTTTCATTTTCTGCTCTTGACTGGCACCTTGTGTTGTGCTCTGAATTGCTGACATGAACAAATAGCCAGAAGGATGGGCTAGGAAGGCAGTGATTCGTGTGTTTTGAAAGGGAAACCCAGCCTTGATGTGCCTGTTGTCACGTTTCCTCTGTTGTCTGCAATATCTGTTGCCTGGAAGAGCCCCGGGTGTTCTGCATAAGCCTTTTACAGACAGATGTGTTCTAGAGGGGACAAGAAATCTTAAGAAATACGAACCCTCCCTGACACTGTGATTTTTTGCAAGGATTTTACTGCCCTCGTGTGTCCGTGCATTGCTTTGTGTTGCCCAGGGAAGGTTAGCATGAATACAGTCACACGGCTTTCAAGCATAAGTAGTTCTTTGTCTCCCTGCCTTATACCTAATTGTAATAACTGCAAGATTCTGTTCCAAGAAGTAATTCCATGGCACGTTAGGCACAGCGCTGTGTTTGTGGAACAATGTTGCTGATAACTGTACATATTCAGATTAAATCTTTGATCTGCTCGTGCACCTGCTGCACTCCGGTGTCCCAAAAATCCTGCCTGTGTCAGAATGTCTCACTTGGTTACTTGGCATGAAGCCCTTCTGTTTAGCTGTTGGCATTTCGTTTAAGAAAACAACATCCATTCTAGGTTTAAAGATTCCAAGTGATAGTTTACTGTATTTTGGAATAGCTTGTTTCCTTGGGTAAATGAAATAAGTTGAGATGCCCAGTCTCTAATTATAAAGCATGGCTTCCAGAGCTTGAACTGTGAGCTGTAGTTCTTATCATTATCCTTCTTTGAAAGGACAGATCTTCAGATTTTGGTTTGATTCTGCAGTAGTGTGCTTGGTGCTGTTTCTGCACACTGTGTCTTTAATAGTGTTTCCTTCTAAGAGATGGTTATTGCAATCCTGTGACTTGCACAGCCCTAACTCCACTATCTCTGTGTGCTCATCTATCATGTCCCTTTCTGTGGCCTTGTCTTGTCTTCTCGGCTCCTAAATCCCTGATGCTATATGGATGCTATTAAAACTAACAGAGATCTGTCATCTTCTGTCTTCTTTCTGCACTGCTGGTAGAGGCCTTATTTATCCAAGAAGCCCCAGCCAAGCTGGGCGTTGTGTAATTGTGCAAACAGAAATGTTTCCTGGTCTACAGAGAATACAAGAAATGGATGGAGCAGACAGACAAGCAATACCTTCCAAGAGAACGAGATAATTATCAGCAGTGAAGTGATAATCTCAACTGAGCTGTCTGACAGTATTGATATTTTGCTCCGTCGCTGATTTCAATCCAAAGCAAATTTCCTTCCTCCCTCCCTGCTGAAGGTGCTGAAGCTCAGCCTGCATTTCATGCTCTACTGCTTCAGCTCACTGGTTGCCAAATCCACGTCCACCTGAATGGGTGAGGCTGCTCCTGGGTCAGTGCATGAGTGACCTCTGCTCTGCCTTGCTGACATTTGCTCACAGCCCTTGGGTGCGTGTGCTGGAAGCTGGATTTGCTCAGCAATGGGAGAGGAAACAGTCCAGCTGTGAGGTTCCTCCCCTGCATTTAATTCTGCTGTCAAACACCTTTTATAAGGCTAGTTTAGCCTGGAAAAGGCTTAGGACTGAGTAGTAATAGCAGTAGTCACGAGATGGTGCTGCTGAGATGTCTGGGTGCCTGCAGGGCAGGCAGAGCTCTGTGCTCTTCATATGTGATGAAGGCAGAAGATGCTGCCTCAGAAAAGTGTTACCCCCCTTTCAGTTGTATTGGGCTGACCTGAGCCATGCAAACATAGTTGTGTCAGCACATAAATACGTGCTTACATGCTGGTAGCTTCCTTAGGGCTTGGCCAGTGCATTCAGATATTTTTTTGAATCAGAGGCTGTTTCCTAATTGGTGTGGTGGGCATGTCAGTACACTTCATTCGTGCTGAGAAAGTGTGTGGGTGTGCAGTTGTAGAAAGCTTTCAGCAGCCCTCTTAAATGGAGCCATACAGATGTGCTTGCTTGTGCCAGCTGTTTGCTCAAGGTCCCACTGGTGCACAGCAATGAGTGCCTGTCCATCAGATTGTGCAGCTGAGAAGATGCCCAGGTTCACCATCAGTTGTAGAGAAAAGAGCATCTCCATCATCTCCCTTGCTCCAACCTTCTTTAGTGACTGATCTCTTTCCTCAGCAGTGAGCTTTTGGAACACATGGTTGCAAAGAGGTGCTCTTAACGTATTCAGGGTGCTGCACTACAGCTACTGCTCTTGGTTTGCAGACATGTCTGCTGGAATTAGAAGAAAAAAAAGCAGTGTGGTTTATGTGAATTGAGAAATGGCCCTTTCTCAGTGCTTGAAGTTCAAGAATAAGGAGCTGGAGTTGTTTGTTTAGATTGGTCCCAGAAAGTGGCCCTAAGCCACAGGGCGGAATTCTCTGCTGCCTCTTTGAAACCTTTTGTTCTGTTTAATTAGTTGGAGGAACAAGAAACTGGCTCTCAGCAGAGCCTTCACAAGAGCATAATGGAAGAAATGTGGCCGCTGAGGTGGTCATCAGGATCTTTCTGCTTTTTGCCCAAAGCTTGCTGGCTCATAATGGCCCTTCACAGGGACTCATTAGATGAAGTGCTGTGCTGCACTGGCATAGCTGCGTAGCTTTTGGATGGTTGAGAAGATGAGGAAAGGACCTGGGGTCTGCCTGAGTGTTTTGCAGATGTGTACTTAATTATTTCAAGCTTTGCTGTGACTTGAAGGACTTCAGCCTTTAAGGTCAGCACTTTGCTTTACAAGTGGCTGCAGTGAACTACAGCTTCTGCCCCTTTGGCTGATGACAGCATGCTGCCTGTGCAGCTCAGGTTGTTGTCAGGGAAACAAGCCTGTTTGGAGAGGAACAAGCACTTGAGGAAGCATGCCAAAACACAGTTTGGTTTATATATATTTGGAGAAATTGTGGGAAAGGCAATTTGGTTCCCTGTGTGAGTACGTCCTTGAGAATAAGCCCCTGGTGGAGCGTGTGCTGTGCTGGTTTTAGAGGAGGAGCTCATGCGTGCCTCTGTCTGTATCTTGGATCATAATCTAAAACAGTCCCTTTCCTGTGTCTCAGGGCATGGCTGTGGAACTGTCTTTTCACTCTTCAGGTAGCTTTAAGGTGAGCAGAGCAGTCTGGAGGAGCTAGCTCTGCAGCTGCCAAATCTGTGTAGTAGTTTGCTGGATTCTAAACCAAATACCTCACAAATGCAACTGTTCTTATTTAAATTTAAAAAAAAAAAAAAGAAAGAAAGGAGGAAAACTGATTCCACTGTTTTACTGTTATTTGTTTTCTAACAGCCCAAATGCTGCCAGCAGTCGGGATGGACTGGACAATGAAACAGGAACAGAGTCAGTTATCAGCCACCGTCGAGAGAGACATCGGCGGAGGAATAGAGAAGGGCACGAGGATGGTGAGTGGATGATATGGATCATATTTCCCCTTTTTCATCTAGAAAATAAAAGATTCTTGTTATTTCACAGCAACAACTAGTTTTGCACGAGCACTGGAGAAGAGTGTGTCTGCATTCCTGTGTGCTTTGAGGGATTGTTATTACTTTAATAGAGGAATTTGGTAATTGCTTTGAGACACTTTGAAGCTGAGCGTTTTTGAAGAGTTTTGGGTAACCTACAGCAAGGGAGATACTTTTGGATGATATACAGGATTTCTGTAGTATTAGGAGACAGCCTGGGAGAGGATAATGATGTAGCCAGCACTGAGCTCCATACCATCACAGCTAGACTGCCTTGTTCAACTGTGCTCGCTTCAAGGTAGAGCACATTATCTGTATGAAGTGTTGGGAGTTTGCAATGTGGACAGTTGGAAAGCTTTAGTATTTTAGCACTGCAAGGTCTGAGCCAGGCTCTTCTGAAATGATTTCTGCTGATTTCTCCTGGCTTGGACCAGTCTTGCGTGCTGGTATAACTGCAGCACACATATAAACTACAGAACATAATCTCTTGCCTCTAGTCTGTACATCAAAGTGAGCTTGTTTTTTCATTTGTTGCCAGACAAGAATTTCCAGGCCTAATTAAGAATTAATAGATGCCACCCATTGAGTCTAAAATGGTCCAGAATATGGAATAGTTGGACCCAAGAGGTGCCATCACAGGCTTTATTCCCAGCTCCACCCAATGAAGTATTAGAAAAGCAGAAGTCACATACACTGTGTGTTAAAAGCAGGTGTCTTCTGTTCATTTTACCTTTCCAATTTGTCAGTGACTCAGAGTGAATGAAAATTACTCAGTGGGTGGAGCAGAGAGCTGTCTTTGCATGATATTGCAGATCCCTGTGGGAAATCACAGAAACAGGGAGAATCTTGTAATAAGTGTTGTGAAAAGATCTTGGTGCTGGAAGAATGTTGAAAGGTGATTTGTTTTTCATGTTAGTTTATTGCCTGCCTCCTTTGTTGCTTCCTCCTCCTCTCCTTAGAAGCTTAGTGAGCCTGATGAAAGGGAAGCATAGGCAGGCAGACTTCTTGGTCTCATTTTTAATTCCCTCTACCCCTGCTTTTGCTCTGCTTCGTGTTGCATTCAAGAAGAGAAGTGCTGGGATTCTCCCTAAGTTGTCTGCCTCCTTTTTTGTCCCCCTACTGGCTGAAAATGCCAGGTCCTTTGTATGATTTCTGGTTATGTTCTTTTACACTCTGATCTCTCGGGGCTACTCCTGTAACTCATTAGGTTGTAAAGAAAGCTGCTCAGCAAAGTGTCCCTGTGCAGAGATGTTGTTGTCTTGACCTGCAGCACATTCTGATTCCTTCGTGTCGCACTCAGTTCAAGCCTGGAATCGTAACAGGGAAAATATGTCAAAGCTTCCACAAAATGCAGTTCCCTTGTGGAATCAGATTGTGCCAGTTTACCTGAGGGGTACTGGCTGTGTTTACTTAGGCTGCCAGATAATTTCTTGTGCATTACAAGCTCTCTGAATGGGTTTTCTTTTCGTGAGAGGCTTAATGCTTTAAGGTGCTGAGTTACACTTGACATTGCTGAGTGCCCTTCATTCCTGCTGTGTCTCTTCTTTGCTCATTTACTGTATGGCAACATTAAGCCCTCAGGGTTAATGCACCAAAGAGCTAAAAATACCATCTTCACATTTGCCTGCCTGTCTTAAGTGCGTGTTATCCTTTGTATGCGTCCCTCCCTTCCTGGCTTGCTTAATGTGGCCAGAGCACGTGTTGCAGGCTGCCTTTGGCTTCAGTAAATGGGTCTGTATCATTTCAGCTGAAACTGGCTTCAGCTCGAGGAGAGCAAGCTGAGAGGTATTAGTTAAATGGATATTAAATGGGGGAAGAGCCGTAGAAGAAGGGGGATGGGATGGGGAGAGGGCAGCAGGGTCGTGACTCCTGGTTCACAGTCAGTTCTGGGGGCATTGGAAAGGAGTGGTAAATCCTCTTCTCCTTACAGAAAGAAGGAAACGCTGCTGGTCTGTCTCATCTTGTCCTGCAGAGGCTTGTTGAATACCAAAATTACAGCTCTAGTAATTCATAGAGAGGCAGGATGTGCGTTCCTCACTGGAGCCCTGCGTTGCCCACAGGTTGTTTCGCAGCTATTAGTCATGAAGCAGCCAAGATGTGTGTGCAGTACTGTCAGCTCACTGAGGCATACAGTAACACATGCCACGCAGTGTTTGCAACTGGTGGAGCTCATCACTGGTGTGAAGTGAATGGCAGAGAGTTACCCACCCTAACCACGAGGCTAAACCTGGCTATTGCACAAAGAAGTACCTGTTTCACAAGAAGAATTCAGTAGTTCATTATAGACTTCATTTCAAACAAGGTGAAGAAGGTGAGAAAAGGTGCTGCTGAGCCTTTTGGGATCTGCTTAGGCGTGAGCACTTTGAACTAGAACCTGTGCAGGTCAGGGGAACTTGCTGCACTGATCCCTGACCACAGTGCAGTCGAGTTCAAGAGGATGAGATTCCTGTTCAGACTTGGAGAACCCACGGGGCAGGGAAGAGAAAAGGGAAGCATAACGAAGATCTGCTGCAGATGTAGCAAAATAAAAATCACCTGAAAGCAATGCAAGCAGGGCAGCAGAATTCTGTTGTGTGCTGTGCAGAATAATCCATCCTGTCAGCCTGATGTTTAGGAACCAGTTTTCAGTGCTTGGCAAGAGCTTCCTTTTGAGTTTGCCACTGGATTGCACTGAGTTCTCCCCAGCTGCTCACTGCTCAGCTCCCCAGGTTACCTTTGTGTGTGTGTGTGTGTGTGTGTGTGTGTGTGTGCATTTATAGATGTATATATTTTAAGACATAATGGTGGTAAAACTGTGGAGGCTGCACATGCAGAGAAGTGATTTTTATTTTGGAGAGGCTTTTTATCCAAAGGGGCTTTTGTCCAAGTTGGGAATATGTCTCTTCCTGAACACCTTTCACATCAATTAGTAGGAAAACAATTATTGGCATTAGCTTCAAATAAAATTAGTGCAAAAGGGCTGAGCTGTCAAGATGTCAGGGCTCCACTTTCTTTCTTCATGCAACAGAAGTTCACGTTGCTTTGGAAAGTTGACAAAGTCCTATTAAGTGAAAGTAGAGCAAGGATCTTAATTAGGAGGGTGGGAGGTCTGCTTGGCACATGTTCTCGGGACCCCTCGGTGACTGGAACAAAACTCCAAGTCCCTTTTGGGAAACAGGACTGTGCAAGTTCTAATTAGGGAGGTAATTAAGAGACAAGTTTTCTTTGGCGCTGCAGGATTTTTTTATAGCTATTGCTTGCTTTCTTGGCACATCTGCAGATGCCATGTGTGAATGCTGGGGCTTCAGCACGGAGTTGGCGGTGCGGTGAACGTAACTGTGATCCCCAAATGTTTGCAAAGAGCAGCTCCAGATGTCCAGGCATCCCTACAAGCATCTGTGTGCTTTACCATAGCGTGGGGGAGGACTGCAACTACAAAATGATTGCAGTGGGACAGTACAGCACCGACTGTAGCCTCTGCATGCAGCTGTGAGCTGCACAGATGGAGTTGCAAGTCTTTGTTAATAAGGAGGTAACAATTTCGTGTCAATAATTGGTCAGGACTTTCTGAGGATGGAAGCTCAGCTATGCCTTCTTCCCACACCACTCTCACCTTTATTCTTTGCAGGGTTACGGAGTACTCTTTACATCCTCTTCGAGCAGATGCTGCTTTCTGCTTTCAAGGCCTGTTTGATTTTGCACTTTGATGTGCCTTTGTCCCTCAGGCAGGACCAGCTCTGCTGTTGATAAAAGCCAAGGAAGACATACTTTAACCTCTGAGGCTATACTTTATTCCAATCTCTGTGACACATCGAAAAGCCTTTGTCAGACAGTCTCAATGGGCTCTATCATCCCCTAATGAAGAAACAGGAGCAAAGGGTCAATGGGGCAGGAAGTCCCTGGTTATTAGTGGGACAGGCATTGAACCAGAGCAGAGTCTGGGTTACACTGAGGGTGGAATACCTGTCTGTGCTTTGTGAATGGCATTACCATCGTGGCTTAATTAGAAAACTCAGCAAAGAGAGGAGCTGCCTCAGTTCCTGCCCCAGGCTGTGATGGGGTGGAGAAGTGTGGGTACTGCAGGGCAAAGCAGGGCTGCTGCTGCCAGGACGATGGCAGGGGAGATGGGGGCCTTTGGAGCTGCTCATGGGCTGCAGGAAAAGCACAGAAGGAAGATGACTTCAACATGAAGCAGTGATTTTTCCCAGGAGTGGAGGTACGCTTTGCAGGTAGCTTTTGCTGTGAGGTGAGAGTTGTTGAGAAGCACTGCTGCCTTCTTCCTCAAGTGTGGAAGTGATGTGGGAGGGTCTGGTGGTGGGGTGAAAGGGCCCAGGCCGTGTCAACCTGTGCTTTCTGAGGGTCTCAGGTCAAAATCTTGGGATAATACTGTAACTGTTCTAAATTTATTATCCCAGGTACTGAATGGGAACTCCACATGAGGATGCTGAGACTGTTGCAGTGCTAAAGCTCAATGCTGTTAATGACACTGAAAGCAGGCTCCAATTTACTCTGGTTATCCATTTATTAGTAATATTAATAATTCAACAAGCAGTGCTGCTGTGCTGCTCCGTTGGAGAACGTGGTGGTAAGGGTGGTGTGAGAGAGCTTGAGACATGTGAAGCAAGATTGCATGAGAGAGTGGCTCATCTATCAGGTGTGATTGCAGTGTGTGTTACAGAGAGATAGCAGTGCAATAAAAGCAGCAAAGTCAGTGCAAATAGTTTTTGTTCTGTCTCCCCAGTCAAAATACGTTGCTCAGCAGATGGGCTGCCTCTTGGGTACAGGCTTCTTTGGGATCACAGCATGGAGGAAGATGCAAATATGTATATATATGTTTTTCATAATCTTTGAGTCTTCAGGACTGGAATTTTTCAGCATCCCAGCAGGAGCCCTGAACTGACTTCTTTCATTTCGTGCAGCACGTGCCAAATAACAACTTGTGGGAAGCTCTTGTACCTTTGGTTGTGTTTGTGGGACTTGGATGGAGCAATAGTCCCAGAGCACGCTGGGGATTTCCCTCTGTGGGCACAGTGTGGGTGGGAACAGGGTCACTGCCACGGTTCTGAAGTGTTTTGACAGGAGCCAACTGCAGCAGGAGAGGCAGCATTCATTTTTCTAACACCATTAGGGTACTCGTTTATGCCTACTGCTTCTGGCTTTATCTCCTTTACAGCTTGCCTGTGAACTGATATGTAGGCAAGTGGGAATGTTAAGGAAAAGATAAGTGGGCAGGCCAAGGTGCTGGGATTTCCAGCTGTTGGATGAAGGCAGGTTGTGCAAAGAGCTTGGTTTCTGCATGTGGATCCTCCTGCAAAGTTGGCTGCAAGTCGTGGTGTGGAAGCAGTGTGGAAGCAGTGCTACTCAGTGTAGCCATTTCTTCCTTTCTTTTCCTCTTTGCCCAGTAGTAATACCCCATTTCTTTTCTTTTTGTAGTCCCTCGAATCAATGGCCATCCCAAACTGGACAGACATCGTGAGCACCCTCCTGGTTACGACAGCTCTTCTACCATGATGAGCAGCGAGCTGGAATCCAGCAGCTTCATCGACTCGGACGACGATGACAACACCAGCAGGTGGGCACTGCTGTAGTGACTGAGCTGTTAAATCCCATTTCCGTGTTTCCCAGCTGCTGGTCCATGTATCTGGGCTGTCCTGAAACATGCTGAGAAGTTTTATTATGTGCTTTTTCCTCTTTTCCCTGCTTGATATGATTTGAGGACAGGTAACCCATCAGTAACGTGTAAAATCGTTGCTCTGAGAAAAGAGCCAGCTTAATGGGATCCCTACCCAAAGTGCCATCAGCCACAGCTCCAGTTAAGAGAAAAGTTCTGTTCCTGTTCTGTCCTTGTAATGGCAGGAGTGGTTACATTTTAAAATCCAGGCAGTGTGCAACTGTCTCCTTATTGGTGAAGCAGTGGTGTGGTTGTTGTAACAAAATACAGCCACGGTCCATTCCTATGGAGCAGGCACCTAACTAAGGAAAACAGTGAAAGAATTCCTATGTAATTGCATGGTCTGAGGCCTGTGGGCAGTAGGAGAATTCATCAGGGTGAGTATTATTGCACAGGCAGGCTGTGGTGCCACGTATTTATGACTTCTTAATTATTTTTTTTTTTCTTTTTACGTGAACAGAAGGAATGTGATGAATTATTCCTTGTTTTTTCCAAAAATCATTTCAAGGCATCCTTCTTCATCCCTAGAGGATACTTGTGTTCTTAAAATGTTTGCAAGCCAATACGTTTCTCGGATTTAAAGTATCCATTTTTAAATAGGCAAAATCAATCAAAGCCTGTGTGGTTCATTTTCCTGCCTTCAGTGCCAGCGTTCTCTAAACACCGTCCCTAGAGCTGTTTAAAGCATTCAGCCAAATGGGCCATGAAAACCCATTAGAGATCTGTGAGAGCTGGCAGAGAACAAATTACAGATCCTGTGATTGTAGCTGCAGATGTCTGTGAAGAAGGAAAGGTGATGGCAGTGTGATGTTCTTAAATTTTAGGTAGAAGAGGAGCAGCAAAGATGCTCTGCTATTGGAGATCTTAGTTGATTGAACTGTGTTGATCGGAGTTGACCACAGCTTATATACATGTTGAAGAGCAATAGCTTCAAATTCTGTTTCAAGGCTGGGTGTTCCCAAAGGGCTGGAAGGGTGACTAAATGAATGTTTCAGACTGGGTTCTGAGTTAGGTTTGAGAGCTTCTTTTGCAGTTACAGTGAAGTTGCCGACACTTGAAGACCCAGAAAATTACCTGCATGCTTTTGTGCTTCACGTGGGTATTCATATGCATCAGGGCTGGCAGATCAGAGCCTTCCCAAAGTCTGAAGGGCTTCCAACCCTTCCTTCCCCCATTTCAAAATCAAAAACCAAAACCAACAATGAGAGGAAACCGACAACAAAAACCCACAAACATCAACAACCCTGCAGCTGATTGTGTTTCTTGGACATAACTTAATCATTTCCGGGGCAGGAAGAAATGCAGTAGGGCAGGATTAGCAGAGTCAGGGTGGCCTCTGAAGCACATCACTCTAAACCCAGCTCAGTCCTTCTGTATATATTAATAACATAAAGCTTCCTGTGTCTGACCTGCAAAGAAAGTGACTCTTCGAAGCTGCAGCCGAGGCCTTTTCCTTTCTAGGCTGGGGCAGAAGCTGTTGGCACACAGGATAGCTGCCAGGCCAGCTAGTCAGGAAGAACAACTAAATGGAATGCTCTGAGGTATGCTGTTGTGTTACAGCGATGATGCTCTCAAGCAGATGAGAGATCGTGCTGGCAGGGAGAAGTTTCCTTTAGAGGCAAAAACAGCCAAATAGCAAATGGAGCATGCTGCAGATCTGCTGTGGATGGAGGCCTGGGGAAGACGAGGTTGAAGGGGGTAAGTTGGTTAATTACAGCTGTAGAGTCAGAGCTTGCCTTATGGGGGGGCTCTTTGTAGGGGAGGTCAACAAGTAAGGAAGCAGCATCCCTTACAGCTGGCTTCCAAGTGGAGAGCTTGAGGGTGTTTGTTTCCTTTGTTTTCAGTATGTGATACAATTGAATGCTAGTCTTGTTTGCAGGCAGTAGGTGGTATTTTGGATACACATTGATGTAGGGAGCTTGTGGTAGACGTTTCTGTTCTGTTTCTGTCTTTTCTTAAGCAAATAAATATCTAGCAAATGTGAAGTATGCAGCAGGAGGGTTATTGTCAGCAACTTGTGAATGCTGTTCTTGATTCAATGTAACTGATATAATTCACTTTGACTCTGGGAGCAGAGTCTGAAGGCAGAGCGTTTGTGTGCAGATCGGAACACTGAATTTATGCTGTAATTGGTGGAGGGCAGCTCACAGCTCTCTTACAGCATGCGAAGGCATCTTGGTGCTCGGCTCATGTTCAGGCAGTAGAGCTCCCCCAGTCTCTTCTGTTCTTTTTGCTGCCTTTTGGGGAGAGCAGGCAGGTTCACTGTGATGGGAGCAGCGTGCCTTGCCTTTCTGCAGGTTCTCCTTTACTGCTGCATGCTGGAAGGTTTGAGCTGAATCCTGTGAATGAGGCAACGTGGGGGAGAAGAGGAGCAGAATGAAATCAGAGAGGGGATAGAAAGGAGGAGAATATTGATAGTAAAATGCAAGGGGGTTTTGTGTCAGTCTTTGCCAGTACTTGCAAAAACAGCAGTAAATGTTGAACGGGCTCAATTCTGGGGAGCCCAGCTTTTGAAAGACCTCTTTATTTTCCCTGTGGAAAAGGGAACAAGCTCAGAAAACCAGGTGCTGTGAGCTGCTTCCACAGATGGAGAGCTATCAGATCTTTGATCTCCTTAGAAAACACCACCTCTTGGCTCTTTAAATTAATATGCCTTGTTGGGAGGGGAAAAAGGAGTGTTAACATACCTGAAATAGTTATGTGAGCTTAAAGAGAACACGAAGAGCTTCACGCCCTCAGAGCAGCCCCAGCATTGGTAATGCTCAGCTGGGCGTCCTTGACTCAAACAAACCTGGGTTTCCCAGTGTGGTGGGTTGTAACCTCATGGCAGCAAGCTCTGTTTTGGGATTGCCACTATCAGATTTTGCATGAGGTATGCTGGCATGCCAGTGTGCAGCAAGGACTTTGAAGATAGGGACGTGGCAATGAGGGGGGAAAAAAAACAGGCACAGTTTTCTTTGTGCCAGTGCCAGTCCAGTTACTTGTGTTGTATTGGGTTGGATTAGTTTTGATCTTAGTTAATAGTGGAGCATTACTTTGTCTCTTTTGCCATTCTGAACATCATAAATAGAGGAGAGAGATCCCTGTGGTGTTGCAGTGGTATCTCTGAAATCCAGACTTTGTTCCAGGCTTCTGAAATGAACTTGGGCCAATCCACTTATCTTTTGCTGTGCCTCAGTCCACTCTCTGTAAAATGGGAATAATTAACTTTCCTAATGTAGGAGAGCCTAAATTATAGATGCGTAGGATGTGATGCATTTAGGGTGTACAGGTTTGAAAGACCTTAAGAAAAAGAACAGAACATGCAGAAGTAAATGATGTTCACCATTCCTCCACCGCCAGTTGGTAGTAGCTATTATCAAGAGCTGCTTTATTTCAGTGAGTTCCAGTCTGTTGACAGAGTGCTAAGCAGCAGAAGAAAGTGAGAGCACCATGGCAAGGCCCACATGAAATGATATGAAGTCATTGTTTAACGTGCAGCTGTTCTTACAGCATGCATTTTTCCTTGGGCATGGAGTCAGGCCCACTGCTCAGGGAGCAGAAAGCAGCTGCCTGCAACCTTGGGGTGCTTAAAGCAGGCTGATACACGCCTGTTGCAAGGCATGTTGCTTTCAGTGTTGCTCCAAGAACGAAGCAAGCTGGTAAAATGCTCTCTCTAATCCATGCTGTAGAGGAGCTGGTAACTTCTCTGTGCTCACAGGGTGAGGTGAAGATGCAGCACGTGCTGGGATTGAGCAGCACTTGAGAGCAGTGCTTTGTCAGCTCGCTGCTGGTGTCTGAATGGCGACTCCTTGGTGTTTGTGGGTCTCAGCCTTGTTTTTGGCAGGGTGCAGAGAACTGCGAATGGCTCAGCTTAATGGAGCTGACATTTGCTCTGGATTTCCCTCAGGTTGAGCAGTTCCACTGAGCAAAGCACTTCCTCACGGCTCATACGGAAGCATAAGCGCAGGAGGAGGAAACAAAGGATGCGGCAGATTGACAGGGTAAGGCTGGCATCATCATTTTCCAAGAAGGTGAACTGTGATTCTGAGTGTAGCATGCAAATCAGAAAGGGATTTGGAGGCCATAAGAGGTTTCCTGGATGCCTCCCAAACAGAAACCTATTAATGAGTTACTGATGAATTAGTGCTCATTAGTTATTCGTCTTGCCTTATTTGGAGCCACTGACAACCTTGAGAATTTTCTGTTATGTTTTGCAGTCATCCTCGTTCAGCAGCATCACAGATTCCACCATGTCCCTAAATATCATCACTGTCACACTCAACATGGGTAAGAGGATGAGCAATGTTTGTTATGATGTGTTCTGTTATGGCATAGAGGCCTTTGGAGTCAGTAGGAAGTTCCTTGGTTTGAAAGAACTCCTTTTGGACTGAAGGGAAGGCAGCTGGGAGGCAGCTCTGACAGTGCCTGGGTTCCTAGTCCAGCACTGGATAATTGGAGCCATTTGCAGCAGCAGCTCAGTGTTCTTCCTGAGAAGCCTGGGGAAGGAGCTGGAGCTCTGGACCCAGAGGATGGAGTTGTGCTCATATTTCTAGGAGTGGTAAGGAGCCAGAGGTTGTCCTGTTCTTGTTCCTAACACTGAAAGTTTGCATTTCTGGAGTTCACGTGTTTCATTGTTTAGCCAGATGGAAATGGGCAGAACTGTCACTTCAGTGCCTTTCAGCAGCAGCCTGTTTTTCCTCGTTAAGTGTGGAAAAGCATTGCCTAGTGCTGATCAGCTGCCTGTTTTCTAGGTATAGACATGTCTTTTCTATGTTATTTCCCTTGATGATTTTTTAACATAACTTTTTTAGTGTCTTGTATGAAGCAGTGATGCATGTAGCAGCTTTTCCCTGCTGTCTGTCTCTGAACATGCCAGGCAAACTTACCCCAGCAGGGTAAACTGAGATATTGGGGTAGTTGTGAATCAAATGCATCCCAGCTGTGTAAGTAAGCAGTGAACTGAACTTTCAGGGCTGGAGTGACCAGCTCTTAGCTCTTCACTATCATTTCAATCACTTTGTTTGCTTTTTTTTGTTTGTTTGTTTTCCCTCCCTACCCTCCACTTTGTCCCTGTATAGAAAAGTATAACTTCCTGGGAATCAGCATTGTAGGACAAAGCAATGACCGGGGTGATGGTGGCATATACATTGGCTCTATCATGAAAGGAGGGGCTGTGGCAGCAGATGGACGAATTGAACCAGGAGACATGCTTCTGCAGGTTGGTCCGTGTGCAGAAATATGCACTGCTCTCTTTCACATCGATGGTTTCAGCTCAGCCATCCCAGCAGATCCCATGGAGTTAGTGAATAATCAGCAGAATTCGTCCACGCTCAGAGAAATATGGCACAAAAACTGTTGTCACTGAAATCTTGGTGAGCTCTGCTGGATGGATGGTCAGCGTGCTCTGAGAAACAGTATTTCTGAGTAACTAAAATGTCTTTACTGTTCCCATTGCTAAGCCTGATGGCAGCTCTTTGTGTCATTTCAGGTGAATGATGTCAATTTTGAGAACATGAGCAATGATGATGCAGTACGGGTGTTAAGGGAAATAGTCTCCAAGCCAGGGTAAGCATCTTACCAAATCTGCTGCTTATCCTCTGCACTCCTTATTGGTGTTGAGCAAACCTCAAATCAACAGAAACAGAACAAACAGAAATCAGCATTTTGATCTGAATAAGCAGCTGGCATGACTGCTGATTTCAACTCTGAGCTTCTCAGTGTGAGTGATGAGACTGGTTTCAGTGTACCAGCCAAAGCCAACACAAACTGGGAGTTGCCTGGTTTCAGTAGCGCTGTTTGTTTATGGAAAGTGAGTTTGAATGTCTCAGAATCTGATCATTCCACAGATTTCACCAGTTAGCGCTACGATAAATGGGAAACAGAAACTCACCTGATGCTGTCTGTGCTGAAAATGGTTTGACAAGCATCTCAAGAACCTCCTCAGAACGTACTTGATAAGCTTGTTTCAGAGAGTTGACTGTGGTAGTTGTGACTTCTGTGGGGGAAGCTGAGAGTCTCCCTTACCTGTTTTCTCTCTTCCTAGACCTATTAGCCTAACGGTAGCCAAGTGCTGGGACCCCACTCCCAGGAGTTATTTCACCATCCCCAGGGGTGAGTACAGTTGGTGCTCCTTGCTGAGTTCCTTTGGAGCCATCAAGTTCCTTTGGAGCCATCCTTTCCCTGCAAGTTCTAATTTCAAGTTTGGATGTGTTGTTTTATAGGCTTAAGATGCTTTTTTTGAGACTGCAGTGCCCACTGAATTCATGGGAGTTTTTCTTTTCATTCACGTGATTTGGGTTAAGCTCTCAGCCTTTTGCTGGCTACATCCTGCTGAGCTTAACCTTTTAATTGATGGAAGGTTTGGGGGAAAAATAGGCTTAAGTATTAAAAAGCCTGCCACATATTTTACCACATATTTTTTTACCACATATGTGCTTAGAAAGAATTTAAATGGATTGTTTCTAAAATTTGAGGCAAGCCACATAGTAAAATATACACAAACACTGTTGAAAATGATGCAGTTTAAGAGTTTTGATTTAATAAATAGTTCAGTGGCTCTAAAAGGTCTGTGTTCATCTGACAAGCACAGCTGCCTCCTGCTGGTGAGAGCTGTGCTTAAGAAGCCAGCGTGTTACCAGTGCTTCTAAGCTTGATAACTTCTTCCCAACAAATGAGAGCGTTTCCCAGATGGAAAAATACCACAGCTGCAGGAGCAGGGCTAGCATGGTTATGTCCTTTGAGACTGATGTAGCAGCTCCTAGATTAAAGCAAATACTGCTGGCAAGGTGCTTTCTGTTCCCTTCTGTTGGGGCTGTCTCAGTTGTGACAACAGAACGGAAGGACTTAATTAGATCCTGCTGTTCACTGCAAATTGGATTCCATGCGACTCATGGTGTTTTTTTTTTTCCCTTTCTGGTTGCTTTGCAGCTGAACCAGTGAGGCCAATTGACCCTGCAGCGTGGATCTCTCATACCACAGCCATGACGGGAGCGTACCCCCGTTACGGTATGAGCCCCTCCATGAGCATCACCACATCTACCAGCTCCTCACTAACAAGCTCAATTCCCGATTCGGAAAGTAAGTCACACTGCGGCCAGCACAGGGCAGGCATCTTCTGCTCAGGGCCAGCAGTGCAGAGCTGTGTGCAAAGCCGACCCCAGCCACAAGCACCATGAAAACGACAGCCATCACAGAGCTCTTGAGTGTTTTCTGAAGTTTGTAATTCCTAAGGGGGGCGTAAAGCCTCTTTCTTAAGGTCAGAAGTTAATGCTGCCCTGTTCTGCCAGGGTTCGCGTGCAAGAAGGAAGAAGTGGCTTCCCTTCTAAAGTCACAAGGCAGGCCCCCAGCTTTATCCCTGCAGGTGAATGTGAGGGCTTCCTCCTTGAATTCTGCTGGCTTTCTTTAGAAACTGTAATCATTACCTTCAAATGAATGTCACTGGGTACCAAAGAATCATTTGGAAAATCTTCACCAATAGTTACATAGCCTTCTTTTATACTTTTTTATCCTCTTAGAATTTATTGAACTGGGAAAAAAAACAGAGCAGATGTCCCATGTGAAGTTCTTGTTAGAGTTCAGTCTTCTTTCCTGGTTTGTCTGTTCTGGGCAGTCTCCAATCTCATCTCATCCATGTAACCAACAAGTTGTCATATTTAAAAGGAAAAAAGCCCAAACATACAAACCAACCCTTTGAGGAGTTAAAAGATCAACGTGAGATCAGTGATTTGTGACAGACTTTCCTGGGCAAAGGCTGAAGCACAGAAGTTGCTTTTGCAGGGCCCAGCTCAGTCCTATCAGACTGCATAGATGTCTGCCTCTCTTTCTCATTCCCTTTCTCTGGTTTTACAAGTGGATTGTTCCCAGAGTTACACCTCACCTTGTATTGAAAGGGAGGTTGTTTTTTTTGTAGGTGTAGCTCAGTGCCTCTTTAGACAGTGGGCAGCAGCACTGAAGGGACATCTGCAGTAGAAAGCAAGTGGATCATTTACATGATGCTTAATCTTGAGATGTGTTTTCAGCCTTCCAGGTACTAAAGATTGCTGGAATCAATGTATCTGATTGCTGTCCAATGAGAGTCTGTTACTCTTCTTTTTTTCCTCTTGAAATACTCGTGTATCGTGCCTTGACGTACAGTAATGTGATTGGGAAATGTGGAATGCAGACATCCTTTCAATCCTACTTTTAAAATAAAGGTTATTTGGGAGCAGAACCATGTTTCAGGAGACAGCTTCTCATTTCTGTGCTTTCCTGGATGCAAGAAGGGCTTCCCTGTGACCTTCTGCTTAGCACTGCTTCCCTCAGGTCAGTCCTGTGAACCTCACTGAGCACAGCAGGCAGCACTGCAGGGTCCCAAGGGCAGAGAGCACCTGTCCTGTGGGCCTCCATGCCAGGAAAGGCAAAGCTGGGGAGGAAGGGAAGATGAGAGGCAAAGCAGGAGAGAAATAGTGCGTTTATATCTGAAACAGACTCGCACACGATGGGGCTTCCTCACTTTTCATGTCCCAGTCCAAGATGCTTTTTTTCAGTCCCCCTGAGGACACAACTGCCAGTATTTGAAGTGCACGTGGTACCTGTTCTACAGAATCTGGCTGCAAAAGGGGAAGCAGTGAATTAATGGAGTCACGTAAAACAAGTCTGTTTCACGCTTCCTTGTTTTGAGCATTGTGGATGTATGTTTTACTGTGTTCATACAGCAAGACCAGGATTAAATAATTCTAAGTGAATTGAGTAATTCAGATTTTCTTCTGGTTAGCTTTCCTTTGTTCTCTGACCTCTGGATCAAAATGGAATTTGTGTATCTGAAATAGTTTCACAGCCACTGCCACATCAGTGTTAGTGGTTAAAGTACTGGAGATTCTGGGGCCTTGCAAATTACCACAACACAGTAGGGTTTGTTCCATCAGCTGTCTTACTCTTTCAGGCAGATTCCTTCCAAAACAAGAGTATTCAAGCCAAAGCTGGCTGAAGGCAACCTTTTTGTTTGGGCAAATGTACTCCTCACTCAAGTAGGACCATGTAGGAGGCAATGCAACACAACCAGGGCTGGGTATTTGTATGTGACAGGACTTCATTGCCCCAGGGCACACACCTTTTTTTTTCTTACCAGGATCTGCCAAAGGGAAAAAATGCCACTTAGAGACACAAAACCAAAGTCCTGAGGCAGAGTTTTGTGGGCCCCCCATGGGGTTACACTGTGCTGTGCCTCAGGTTTTCCCATAGCTGTGGAGGTGGTCATGCCCACAGCTGACAAAGTTCAGACCAGTGTGGGTGCATTTTAAGATGCACCTGAGGAATGTACATGGCTGCATAGCAGGAAATACTGCTGATGGTTTGGCTCGTGTTGTTCTTCACAGGCAGGTTGCAGGCCTCCAAGAAGAAATGATTTGTTGCTCCCCTCATTGATATTGAGTATTGATTTTTATATGCTTTTGTTTTTTTCCAAATGAAGATGTTGCTTTTTGCCACTAACCAAACTAACTTCAAGCAAAAGCAAATGTTAGTGTCTGTTCGCTTGATAAGTATTGGAATTGCATGCATGGATGGCATTGGATATTGTCATGAGTATTAGCAGTGCACTGAAAGAAGCATTCTCAGTTTTCATTGTTTCATGCTCGTTGTACCTTATATCAACATTTTGAGTTGCTGGAAAAGAGGAAACTTGGTTCCCATGTGCTTTGGAAAGGTGGGTGATGTGGGGGCTGGGAGATGGGAGGGGAGGAGTGTTCTGAATTCCTCTTGGAGGAGGGTTTGAACTGCAAGCACAGAACAAATGTGCTGGAAGTGAGTTTTCTAGGACTGGGAAGACAGGGGCAGAAAGTAGAATTGGGTGCCGTGTCCTAAGAAAATAGTCCTGTTGTATATGGATGGGTTGACTGAGTTCTGTGCAGTTAGGGCAAGGCAAAAGTCAAAGAGTAAGCTGGAAAACCTCTACAGAGGTTTGCACTGAGCTGTTGGGTGGGTGCTGTTTGTGGCAAGTCGAAAACTGTGACCATAGAACTCCTCGTGTTTTATCTTGGACAAATGTCACTGAGATGTGGATTGAAACAGTGCAGTGCTGATCTGTGGGTGATGGTGTGAACTGAAGACGTGGGGATTTGGCATCTCAGTGGCTGAACTGGTTGCACTGAGCACAATCTCTCCAAGAACTGCCCTGAAGGCTGTAATTTGTGCCACTGATGGGATGAAACGGGGAACTTTTCTGTCTGGTTTTGCATTGTTGGTGGAGCTGTATCTTGAAATGTTTCATCCAATCCTTTTCAGACTGTGTTCGTTCCAAAGAAGCATGTAACCTTCTTTTGCTTTTAGAATTAGAAGAATCTCCCTTAACTGTGAAGAGCGACATGGCTACTATTGTCAAGGTCATGCAGCTGCCAGACTCAGGCCTTGAAATCCGGGACAGGATGTGGTTAAAAATTACCATCTCCAATGCAGTAATAGGTGAGCACAACTGGTCCTTACCCACTGCCTGTAAATTGATTTGGATGTTCCTAAGTCTCCCATTCCTGTTCTCGTTTTAGGAGCAGATGTTGTTGACTGGCTTTACACACACGTGGAAGGCTTCAAAGACCGACGGGAGGCTAGGAAGTATGCCAGCAGCATGTTAAAACACGGCTACCTCAGGCACACTGTGAACAAAATCACCTTCTCAGAGCAGTGCTATTATGTCTTTGGAGACCTCTGTGGCAGTAAGTTCCACATCTGTGAAGGGCAGAGCTGCACGTGTGTTCTCTGCTGTGCTCACAGGACGCACAGAGGAGAGCCCTGCAGAGTTTGACAAGTGAGCATTTCAGAACAGATTGTTAGGCTGAAGTTGCATGATAAGTGGTTAACATTTCCTGTTAGAGCAGCAATTAGACCCTTTGGAAAAGAGTGGACTCGTGGCACTGGGGCTCAAGGAAGCAGGGATGTCTGGAGATGCCAAAAACTTCCTGCTTGTCAGTCAAGCTGTTTCTAGTCTGTAAAATGAGAATTATTTCCCCTTGACTTGGAGAAACGCTGCAAAGGTACCTTGGTGCCCAGTGGTGAATATTCCTATCTGCCCTGCCGTGTGTGATACTTTGAGTAAGCTGTCAAGACTGAGTCCCTCACAGGCACACCAAGTGCTTTGTAAGCCATTACTGATACTCAAGAGTCAGCTCTACAAGGGAAAAGTACAATCTTCATCTTTTCTTTCTTTTCCAGATATGGCTGCACTGAACCTCAACAATGGTTCTAGCGGAGCCTCTGATCAAGATACCCTTGCTCCACTTCCACATCCTGCTGCTCCCTGGCCTTTAGGCCAAGGATACCCCTATCAGTATCCTCTGCCCCCTCCGTGTTTTCCACCAGCATACCAAGACCCAGGCTTTAGCTATGGCAGTGGCAGTGCAGGGAGCCAGCAAAGCGAAGGTAAGCTGGTTAATCTGGTATGTATTCCTACAGCTACCATTACCCCTGACCATTTGCTTGAGTTCCTTAGTACTGTTTGTGCTCCTGTCTCGTGGTTTCCTGTGCTTACTTGCATAGATTTGGTGTGACTGCATGCAATCAAAACTGTTCTTGTGTGTGATGGAGTGGGTTAGCCTTTCAGCTCTGTATTGAAACTGCCAGCAATGTTTGATCTGAGTCAGTGCTATCAGTGCTATGTGCTGTTTCTGGTTGTGCTGCAGTTCTGTTCCAAATGCAGAACGCCAGTGGGAAACTAGAGCCAGGCTGTCTGTGGCATGGGCATCTGTACTTTACCTACCAAACAGCACCACACAGTAAACTGCTGCTTGAATAATGTGAATCAGGCCAGCGTTAACATCAGTTGTCCCCCCCTGTTAAAACAGATTTAAAGTATTGACCCTTTTCAGAGATCAGAGCCATTACCAACAGTGGGGGCTGCAGTCTCTTGATATTGCTGGAAATGAGGGTTGCTGGTTGCTGGTGGAACAGGGATTAGGACCAAGGGAACTGAGAGTGCAATCACTCTTTTTGCTTGGGTGAGACAAGTGTGAGGTGAGCAGCAAAGAGGTTACAGGGCTGAAATACTGCTCACAGGGAGGAGAGTCTGTATGGTGATACGAGACAGGGGAAAAAAGGATAGTGCTGCATGGATTAAAAACCTGACCTCTTCCTTTTCTGCTGTAGGATCTTTTTGCCATTCGTTTTTCAATCTTAGTAAGTGGAAGTTGCATTTTGTGGCTGTACCAACAGGGTCCCACTGTTGGGATGCTTTATAAATCACTTCCAAATTGGGTTTTGGGTTTTTTTTTTTTGGCAGCTGGTTAGATCTCTGCTGCTGGAACAGGAAAGGTATGGTATTTCATCCATGCACCTGTGTCAGTGGCTAAGAGAGCCCTGTGGAAGGCACCAAGAGTGTTTAAATTAAGAGTTTCTACTCTTTCCTTGTTCTTCATGTGGAAACTACACTGCTGTGTTGTTTCTTACTTTATAACTGTTATTCCCTTGTTTTGTTCTGAGCAAGCATTAGACTGAAGGATTCATAGAGGAATGGCTGACTCTAGGGGATTGGTAAGCTTCAAATGCCTCCATGATAATAATGACTTCACAGCATGATCATTTAGACTCCTGTGACCCAAATGTTTAGCTGTGTTTTTCCTTTTTTGTCTCAACGCACGACAGTCCAACAGTGTGACATGAGCATACCAAGCTGTTTGCCCCCCACGTGATTGTGCTGCAGCAGCCACGAGAGAAAGGCATCAGGTAGCTTGCTGCCAGCTCAAATGGGAAAACCCTGCCACCAGTCTCTTCACCACCCTTTGTAAAAATAAAGAAATCCCAGCTTTTAATTCACGAGCCTGATGTTGTCCATCAGGATTTTATATATCTACCAGTGCCCTTCAGGAGCTGATTGGCTGAAAAACATTTGAGCAGAAGTTTTGGGAAGGTACTGAGAGTGTTGGGCCACAGGGTTGTGCCGGTCACTCTCTATATACAGATTAAAAATTGGGTTTTCTGTGTTTTCTATTTATGTATCCTGTTAGTTCACAGCTGGTAAATGTTGCTTTGTATCAGGAGACCAAAGGAGATGTCATTCAGAATGACAAGCTGGTCCTTATTCTGCTGGTTGGGATCCTTCCTAGCAGGAAGACGGTCTTGCACTCAGGGCTTTGGCTTAAGTCATAATACTCTCTAAACTGCAGGAACTCAATGAAATACCATGTGGGTTTCTTGTTATTGTTTGTTTGCTTTTGTTTTTGTTTTTGTTTTTTAAGGCTAATTAATTTAGAAATGTCTCCTGACATCTGTCCCATCTCTGATGGTAATAGAGCACAACCTTCAGCTTCCCTTTTGAATCAGCTCCAAAGCTTAGCAAAGCTTGTATGTAGCAACAGCTCAGCTTACGTCCTAGCAGCAGCCCTTGCTTTCCTGAGCTGGTTTAGTGGCCTCTGCTGGGAACATCCTTCGTGTTCCTGATTCCTTATAGAGCAGCTCAATAAATAACTCCAACAACAAAACGCTGCAGTGATGAACTTTAGAAGAGCCTACATAGTGAATGCAACAGAAGGACTTCAGTTAACCTCAGGAGGTTCAGCCTTCAGCAGCAATCTGCCCAGTTGATACAGAAGTCAAATGAGTTTCCTTTTGAAAAACGTTGGCCAAAGGCACGCTTAGGATTCAGTTGAACCTCATTTGCTTGTGGGTTAAAACCCAAACGCCTGCTTCTTCCTTTGGTTTCTGCTGCTCCCATCTAGGCAGCGAGGCGGTGGAGGAGCTGAAGGCCTCCAGCCCTGCTTATGAGCTAAGCTGCTGCTTTCGCTCTGCGAGCTCTGTAGGTGTCTCCGTGTACCTGTGCATGGCACAGCCTCGTCCGCTTCATTCTGCCATCTGTCACCCCTCAATGCCATCAGCACGCTCAGGCCTTGTCATCACCATTGCCATCACACCAAGTCGCAGGTGGATCTGTGGGTTTGGTAGGTGCTGGTGTTGGAGCCAGCAACGGAACCGAGCTAACCCGGCTTTTCTGCGTGTCCTTTTTGTTTTTTCCCCGCGGGTTTTAGGAAGCAAAAGCAGCGGCTCGAACCGAAGCAACAGCGAGAACAGCAGGAGGGCTCTTGGCAGAGAGAAGGACCGCAAGTCGGCGGGCAGTGGCAGTGAATCTGAGCACACTGCCTGCAGTGGTGGCACCGGCACGGCGCGCCGCGAGAGGCCCGTCAGCCAGCTCAGCCACCGCAGCCACGTCTCTGCCACCCACAGCGAGAGGAGCCACCACAGCCATCATTCTTACGGGCCTCCGGGTGTCCCACCCCTCTACAACCTCCCCAAACTGGGCTCGAAAGTCTACGGGACGAGCGGACCCCCTGGAGGGCCTCCGGTGAGAGAACTGAGCTCCGTTCCTCCGGAGCTGACGGGGAGCCGGCAGTCCTTCCAGAAGGCCATGGGCAACCCTTGTGAATTCTTTGTCGACATCATGTGAGAGGAAGTGCCTTCAGACTCTGCTTTGGGGAGGGCCGGGGAGGATCGTTTTGGGGCCGGGTGGGAAATGTGGTCGTTGTCGGATGCTGAAGGGAAGAAGTTTGTCTGTTTTGCATGTCACGCCTTCCCGGTTTGCAATGGCGTGTTGCAGAAAAACCAACAACACGAAGCAACAACAACAAAAACACAAAACCCCCCCACAAAACAAACACAAAAAACCCCCAGCAACGCCTAGGATTGTTAAATATCAGCAAGTCGATGGCGTCTTCTCTTTATCCTCCCGTTTTTTCTTTCTTCCCCTCTTGTTTTTGATTGTGGTTGGCTGGTGTATATTCACATCTTAATGAGCTTTGGTAATTGTGGCACCTACTTTCAGTGCAATTAGTGTATCTTTTGGGCTGATCCGAGGACTTATTATTTCACGTGACTTCTGAATTTCCAGTAATGCATAACGGCACTTTTATTTTCCTGTGCTTTTTCTCCTGCAAGGAAAAACAAAGGATTGTTGGCTGGTATCTGTGATACTGCCTCGTAATGCTGGTGCTTGGATGCATCAGTCAGCACTAAGCAGATGCAGCACCTGTGAGTACAGACCATACGTGCTTGGAAAGGAGCAGGCACAGACCAGTTCCCAGCAGAAAGCCAAGTTGTGACTGCCTTCTACTGCCTAGAGAGTGTAAATCCATCTTCCTTTTTCTTCAGATGTCCATTATTCTGTGAAGGAAATGGTGGAACCTTGCTGCTGTATGTGCTCCTTGTGCAGAACTTGTGATGTTAGTTCATTCAGTTTCATGATAGGGACTTTGTAGCTGCAGTCTTTTCCTGGGCATTTCGGTCACATCGCTGCTGACAGATGTCTGTTTTTTTTTTCTGGCTATGATTTGCACTTGCTTACTAGTTTTAAAAGTTGTCTCCACAGAAATAGAATGATTGCTGCAGCGTGATTCTGTTGGTGTAGCTGCAGCTTCTCCCTCTGGAAGGGACATATTCCCCATTCAAGCAGAGACAGAGAAATCCTGGCTCCCACTGGCACGTGGCTTTTCATTTTGACCACCTCTCCTTCTGTTCTTTGTTTCTGAGCAGTATCTTTCCCTTTTTTTCTCCCCTGAAATAGAAACCTGGAGATACCTAACCCCAATTGCTGAGTTACCCACAGGAGCATGTCCTGAACACCAGTGGGAACTAGCTGTTAGCAGAGAGGTGAGAGCAGTCCATGAGTGGTACAGTGAGTGAGTCCTTGTGCCGGACACTGAGCACAGCCTGTGCTAAAACTCTGCTGGGAGCTTTCATTTCAGCAGCTGTTTCCAGCAGGTTTTAGGACAGGAGCTTTAAAATCAGTCTTTGCTGTATATAAGCCTGTTTTTGTTTATTTTTTTAACTGATGAGAAGCTTCTTTTTGGTATCTTCCATGCTTTATGGGTGGTGTGACTATCCAGTATGAGCATCAAAAGCAAACACATCTTTCTCACTAAAACATGCAGTTTGTGTTCCTTTGTCACCCTGGAAAACTGCTCCTCAAGCTTTCCATTTTGTACATGTTCGTTCTGATGGACTTTTATTACTTCTTATGGCAGATTTGTGTGCAAACATCCATCCTTTATACAAAAGCCAAGTCCAGATTTCAGACGTCTGTGTGAAGCAGATGATGAAGTCTCACTTCAAAGGAAGCGAGGTTTTTAGGAAGCAATCACTCAGGCTAGGAACCCAGATTACATTGCAACCAGCTGAGTGGTTTTGGACTGCTGCTTTCAGAAAATCTCCCTAAAGGTGGAAACAGCATCTTCACAGTTGTGCTTTCTTCATAATCCATCTGATGGGCTGCTCTTGGTGGCAGACTTGCTGGTGGCTCATTCAGAAGAATGGCACTTGCTAACACTTTTCTTCCCTTTTCTCCTCCCACAAACGCAGCAAAGGCACTAATTAAACCAAGTAAACCATTGTGAGAAATTGACGTTGAAAGCAATGAGATAAATCAGGGTTTAAAAAAAAACACAAAAGAATACTTGTCCTGTGTCTCCAGGAGAACACTGTTAAGGAGTCTGCGACTTTCCTGACAAGTGGTTCTGCTTTCAAATCGAGTGTAACTTTTCTGGGCTCTTACATCCTAGGATTTTTCTGGCCCGCTTTGTCTAAAGGCACAACGTGCAGGGCTGGAGGAAGAGACTGTCATTTTAATGCTGCCAAAATGGACAGAACCCGGGGGCTGAGCTTTCGCCGATGGAAGAATTGTATTTAATTTCCTCACGTTTTTTCAGGAGCTGCAGCTTACACACTTTGCTGGCTTTCGGTTTCTTTTTTCGTCTCGTTGTTGTGCTGTTGGCAGAAGCTGTTCTGTGTCTTGCTGGTCTTTGCTGCAGTGTTGAAATGACTGTGTTTTATACTTCTGTGTCTGTGGGTCGCTCTGGAACGAGGCTGGCAGTGCATGCAGAGGTGTGGGAGAGCGTTTCTCTGCTGAGGAACCTGGCCTGAAAGCTTCACCCGTGGATCGGAACGGCTCTGAGCGCACCGATGGGTTTGCTGGCTGGTTGGCAGCACGCAGAGCCTGCGAGAGCAGCTGGGAAATGTCACTGACCATTTTGTCAGCAGTGCAATACATAATGGCCACTCATGTGGAAACAACAGCTGACGTTCCTCCCCTTGTAGCATACGGCTGCTTGGAGATGAGGGGAGGGTTGGCCTGAAACATTGCCAGCGCTTGATTTTCAGAAGTGATTGAAGACAGAAGATTTCCCAAACCCTTGGCTTTCAATGCATGTGCATTTATCTTTGCAATAGAGGGGGCTGGGGCCTAACTGTGCAAGTTTCTCCTGTTGGGTGCAGCACAAGGCGCAGAAGGAAGTGCTGCTGATGCCAGCGAAGCTACTTGTGATAGAGGTGCTGTGCCAGGCGGAGGGAAGTTGGAAGGCTGGAGTCCTGCAGAACTGTCTTTTATCAGGGCACGAAATTGATGTTAAATACCTGGCACTGGCCGAGCTCTAGAATGTATGGCCCACAGTGAGAAGCGGTGGGTTTTGCTGTACGGGGCACTGAAACAACCCCACAACAGGAGCCTTAAATAGTTGATGATTTTTTTTTTCTGATTTCTGGAATTGAGATCTTCATGGCCTGCCCTGCAGCTGGGCTTAGCACTCACACAAACCTGGCGGCAGCTTGGGACGAGGACTAAGAGGTATGTTTGGAAAGGTGGAGAGAACAGTTTGGGATGACGTCTCCTATCCAAAGGAGGCAGAATCTGGGGAGGGGGGCAGTGAACCCACCCGATATTTTAACTCTGAGGAGTAACGTGGTTTGGCAAATAGTCTTAAAAGCACTGCTATTGTCTTTTACCTCCCATTAATAAATTTACTTTTCAAAGGTAACAGTCCCCTGGACACTTTATCCAAAGGTCTATTGGATGGTGAGCAATGATGCACAGACATTGACTTTTGATATAATTTTTGTTCTAAGTGGGCAGTCCCATCCTGAGACTTGACAGCTCATGAGTCGATGTAATTGTTTTGTTTTTTGTTTTGTTCTGCATTTAACTGGATTGTAATAAGATTGATTTAAAATTATTAATTCTAATCAGTGATTAGAAATACCTGTAAAGAATTTTATGTACAGTAGAGGAACAAAGTTACATGATTTTAAATAATGAAAACCCAGACTATCACCTCTTCTAGATTTGGTTCTACTCGAAGAGTGACCTCTTAATGGCATGGACTGCACTGTTCCTGTTAAATGTCTATTGCATAATTGAATTCTTTTTTGTAGATATTGTATTAAAACCCAAGTGTCTGTATAGTTAATATATAGCTGCTTATGTGTAAATGCTATTTTAAACACTAAAAAGCTTTTAATTTTATGTGATAACTGCAGTGTATGTCTTCAGTTCTTTGCACTACTGCACTGTCTATAATTCAAGAAGAATGAAAAAGAATCTTAGCCTCTTTTTTTTTTTAGTTCTGTTTCTCTCTGCCATCGCTGCAAAAAAAGAAACGTTCAGGAGCTGATGGTAGGCAGCCAGGAGCCCTGTTTTAATGGTGCTTGTAAATGATCACAGCTCAGAGTGAGACAGGAGCCCTGTATGTGTACACAGCTGAACTGGGTCACAGGTGGCTGAAAAGCTGTGCAGGTTAATGATGTCTGATTGGAAACACGAGGCCCTGACACTCACCAGAAGTGCTGCAGCTTTGAGCTAGCGATGAATAAATTGGTGCATAGATGGTAATATAAATCCCCCAAGCTCTTAATTAGCAGCCTTTTCCCTGTCATGGTTTGGCAGGTGTAAGTACAAAGGAAAGGCTGAGGAACATTTCTGGAAGTAAAAGTGTCCTGTTGTAAAGACATGGGATGGAGCAAGTTGTCCTGCCTGCAAACACAGGAGATGGATCTGCTGGTAGAACCTGTTTGTGTATCCAGCTGGTTCACGTGGATATTCCCTTTCTGCCAGATGCTGCATCCAAACTGCAGCAGATGCATGCTCAGTGGTTCACCTACAAGCAGCAACCTTTGAGGCTTCAGGAGGCAGATTTTGCAGCTGGTAGAGATCCAGCTGAAAGGGGAAAAGGCAAAGCAGCAGTTATTGTGGGAGCACCCGTTACAAACGGCACAGTTGTACAGCAGAGGTACATGGGAGCCTGTGAGACAGTCCTGCACAGTTGCCCTATGTGCCTTTTCAAACCACATTAGCTTATGCAGGGCAGATTATCTAGCCAGTTCTGGTCAGGTGAAAATGGTTGAAAATTTGGACTGTGCAGCCTGTTAGTACAGGGGCCTGATGGGCTCCAGCTGTGAACTAGTTTGAATTGCCTGTGAGCTGGTTTGAATTGTCTGCAGGTGGCTGGAAGGAGCTGAGCAACACAGTCAGGTGCTTTTCCCTTTCTGCTGTTCTGCTATGAAAACACAGCACTGCAGCAAGGAATATTTCTTAGACCCGCAGGTACCACAGAGTGCTCATGAAGATTTGCTGCTATTTCCAGTCACGAGGTCTTCCAGGCTTCAGGTGAGAGTTCTGCTGTCTTTTGGGTGTTGTAAGCAGGCAGGCTGGTAATTAGAGGTGGCTTTGACACACAGAAAAATAGGTTTGGGAAAGTTGGTATGCAGTAATAGGTAATGCTGCCTTGTGGCAAAGGGTTGTGGGGTTTGCAGAGGGTTACATTCATACCTTCTTCCATTGAACCCCACACTCAGCGCTTTCAAAGATGATCATTTATTCAGTAACTGATGTAGAACATTCATAATATTAGCTAGATTTGACTGGGGATGGTTAGCAGCTTTTGTCAGGGTCAGTCTGTTTTTTTCCTTTACAAGGATCTGTCATGCTTTCTGAAACTATCAGTTACCCATTTTGTAACTGATATTGAATGGAGCAAAGCACTGCCTTTCTTGGAGCTGAGAATTCTCCTCCTGCGCAGTGAACAACGGGTGTGCTGCAGAGATGAAGGATGCTTCCTGGTGCTTGCAGTGTTTGATTCATTCTGTCCCCTTGGCAGAATGTCCCCGTGGGTAAGAGGCATTCCTCCCCATTGATCTTTGCATGTGATTTGAGATGGAAGGGATTTCTTGGAGCGACTGCGATGGGGTGATTTGCACTTTGTTTCTGTGTGCCTCATCCTCATTTCCATGTTTGCTCACACGTTGATGAAATACAAATGAGTGAGTTGATATTTGAATGGGTCGTGCACTTCTCACGTCACACATACAGCTGCCCTTATGCCTCAAAATGCTTTCTGTAGTTTTGCGTCCAAATCAAGAATTTACTTATTTTTTTTTTCCCCATGTAAAATACAAATTTAAACATTGGCTTTGGAAGGCTTAGCTTTTTGTTTCACATCAGTTACATTAAATTGGTGATCGAGTCTGCATCATACCTTATAGAGTCATTCTGAACCGAGTATTCTTGCTAAAATGTGGCTCTGGGCAGCCTGGTCTGGTGGTTGGCAACCCTGCACGTAGCAGGGGGGTTGAAACAGGATGATCATTGTGGTCCTTTTCATCCCAGGCCATTCTATGATATGATATAAAATACAGCCAGCTTCTAATGAGGCTACAATAGATCTGGTTTGTTGCTTGTTTATTGAGGGTCTCCTTCTGGCTCCTCTTTGGTGGAGTACTGAAAATAATCCTCTCTGTTCAAATCAGGCTTCAGCAAGAGGATGTAGCATTTGGGGATGTAGTATGTCCCCACAATACCCAGACTGACCATCAGAATGGCACCAATCTGAATCACAGGCCTAAGGACTGTCCTCAGAGTGGCAAAGATGGCAACGAAGAAGATCCAGATGATGAAGTAGATGAGGGTGGCGAATGTGATGCCCCTGGCCATGTTGTATTTCTTCCCAGAGGTCTGCACCATGAACGTGCACAGGAAGCAGACGAAGGCCAAGCACCCGTTGTAGCCATGCATCAAGGCGAAGGCAAGCCAGGACGCAGTGCTACACGTGAGCAGAACCTCCGTGGGCAGTGAGCTGTAGTCAGGCAGCACGTAGTCAGGGCCCAGGTGCAGGCAGCAGAAACAGAAGAGGCACTCGGTGAGGAGGCACAGGGCTACAAGGAGCCAGGCTCTGCTCGGCGTCACCCAGCGCAGGGCAGCGCGGGCACAGCGGGGGAATTCTGTCAGCAGGGCGATCTCCAGGGACTTGGTGAGGAAGGTGGAGAAGCAGGCGTTGAGGCACAGGGCATAGAGAATCTGCTGCATCACGCAGAGGTTGTTACTGGGCTTCCCTATGAAGAGACAGGAACTGAGGCACATCAGCACGAGTGCAAACAAGGCAAAGAGGTTCAGGCTGCCTCCAGAAGCCTGCACGAGGGGGGTGTTGAGGTTCTTAACGAAGAGCACGGCTGTCAGGCAGATCAGGGATGCGATGATGGACATGGATATCAGCAAGCCAACCGTGAGCGGCTCGTCCCAACGGAGGAATCTCTCGCTGCGGTCGTAGCACTGCGTGCTCTGGGCAGGGGACCACTGGTGCTCCATGCAGGGAGTGCAGGTGGAGCAGTCTGCAAATTACCAGTGAGAAAAGCACGTTGCAGGAGTGTGCTGCTGCCCTGCTGCGTGCAGCCTATGGGGAAGGATCAGTTGTGAACATGTCTGGGTGCTGGTTTGGCTGCCTTCCTCCCCCTTCCCAAGCATATTGGACCTCCATAGCTTTTGATTTTTATTTTTTTTTTCTCCTCTCTACTTCACTACCTTCCTTTCAAAAGTTGCCACGTTGTTTCTTGGTTTTATTTCTCATCCCAGGAAGGATCACCAGCATCCACCAAATCCCACAACTCCATCATAGGCTTCTCTTCTAGCTAAGACCTCGGAATTCCATCAGTTCTCCTCTCTCCTGCCTCAGAGATAGAGCATACACCTTGTCCTTGCACATTCTATGAGGGATCATCAGAGGAAGGTCCAGCACTGAATATCTGTACAGCAAGACTGGATGTTTTGCAGCAGAACTGAATGGAAAGAAATTTCCTGCCCTCTCAGTGCTTCCTGGAGGAGCAGCCTGCAGCAGGTCCTTATCAGCTCTGTGAACCTGTGTGACTTTAAGGGGCAGATAGACACAGTACAAGCAGGTAAAGCCATTGCCTTTCTCAAACCTCACCTTTAGAACTGCAGAAGGTGTTTTCTGGGCAGTCTGTGCAGTCGTAGCAGCAGAAGTGGAACCCTTTGTTCTGCCTGATTTGCCCTGGTTCGCACTCTCTGAAGCATTCTGATGTGGGCTCCTGAACAAAAGGGGAAAGAAGTGTCAGCTGGGTACCCAACAAAAGACTGGCTGTGCTTTGCTGGCATCACATCCGTGTCAGTGCTGAGAATACCTAATTATACTTAATTCTAGTTTTGTACAGTGGAGATGGATAACTTGTTTGGAGGAGAGCACAAGTTGGGTCTCACAAAAATCCTGTAGGAGCAGCATGTAGGCTGGCAGCTCTTCATGGACAGTTCTGATGATGAAGTGGCAAAACAGGTACTTAAAAGCAATATGAGATTGCCCACCTTCTTTACCTTTTGGTCTGTAGTGTGAAATTGAATCAGGGACTTATTGAGGTACCAGGACTCTTGGTAGTCTCCCACAGACAGATATGTGAGGCTGCCATTTTCCCAGTGCCAGAATATAAGCTTGTAGCCAGCGTTTGTGCCATGGGATTCATCAAACCTGAAACTTTGGCCATTCACCATGAATGGGACAGTATTCATGAAGTGCAGCAGCTGAGGAGAGAATGAGAATTAACAGTAGGTATCAGTGCAGCTCATGTTCTTCCTTGGAGGTTGCTAATGCAGTAAGCTAAGTTCTGACTGATGAAATCAGTTCCCCCTGATGTGGGCTAAGGTTGCAGCTATCAGCTTCCTTGCTGTATTATCAGCTGCTCTGTTTGTTGTTCCAGGCCCAGGTGGTAGGAGCCTGAATGCAGCCCTGGAGAGGGGAATGTGGCATGCTGGCATAGGGGATGAATGAAAAATGGCTGTTGGTCCCTCAGACCTTTCCTCACCTGCCAAGATCTGATGGATGCTTTGGGACACCCTTGGTGGGTGCAGCCCAGCGCTCTGTGCAGCGCGTAAGCCACGCTGTAGACTGCGATGTACACTGGTTGTACTTGGGAGTGGCTTAGGGTGGAGGAGATGTCGTGCAGGGAGATGTGGTCGCACTGTTTGCACTGTGTGCCCAGCATGTCAGAGCTCACGTGGCGGTAGGATTCTCTGGACTTCTGGCAAAATTCATCCTGCTGAACAGAGCTGAGTAACTTGGCAACGTATTTCTGGAAGCCAGGGACGCTGCTTGCTTTCATAATGAAGCCTAAGACTGTCCCGATGCTCTGAATGTTTGGGATGGAGGCAGCTATGTCAGACAACAACCAAGCTTCAGTGCCGATCCAAACCTTCTTGTTTAGTCCCATCTTGATGCTCTGTTCCAGCAGGGCCTGAGCTGGCTGTTGAAAGGCAAAAAGGATAATAATGTTGACGTTGGTCTTGTTAATGTTCTGAATGGTCTCTTCCAGTTGTTTCTCAGCCTTGGGGTCTGTGAGGTCTGAAGGAATTAGGCCCTCGTAAGCAATGCAGATGCTACCATTTCCAATTGTGCTTAAGAACAGCTCCTGGGCTCCTCGGCCGTATTCATCATCGCTTCCAATGGTGGCGATCCAGTTCCATCCAAACTCGTTCAGCAGAAGGACCACAGCTTCCACCAAGTTCTTGTCACTGGGAACGGTCCGGTAAAAGGATGGGTACAGCTCCTTGTTGCTGAGCTTCTCACTGCTGGCCCCGTAGCTGACCTGCAGATTCAGAAATACCTTAGAGCTACGTTCACCTGACTGTGACAGCTCTCTTTGTTGAGATAACTGAGTGCTTACAGTCACAATTGAAATTCTCTCCCAGTTTCCACTGTGAATTGCCATTTCACGTGGGTTGCAGGGCGGTGTGCGTTAGCCCTCTCCTCTCTGGGAAGTTAAACACTGATGTGTGTTCCAGGAAATTTAACCACCTGCTCAGGATCACACAAGACATCCATGGCAAGGATTGAAAGCTATGCTTCTAATGGTGCCATTCCAAAGACATGGAGCGCACACAGTTGCTGGATTAGAGGTCCCTTCCAACTGAACTAAGCCATTCAAACCCTGCCCCCCACCAAAAAGGACAATTCTCACTTTTCCTGGGAATCTCTTTACCTGTGGAATCAGGAAGAAGCTGAATAGTTTGGCTGTCAGCAGGCAGAGATCTGACTTATGTGGTCCAATCACAGCAGTGACACGAGGCTGGTAGTCGGTGTAGTTGCATGCTATGCCAATGTCTGTTGTGCCATTTTGGGTCACGAACAGCAAGCTGGGCTGTAGGGCTGCCAGTGGCTCAAAGCAGGTGTCGTAGATGTCATAGCCCAGCTCCACTCCTGGGAGAAGTGACGTGGAGTTGTTGATCTCATCAATAGCAAACTTCATCCCAAGGGCCCATATCAGCCCATCTACAAATAGCCTGCAGGAAGAGGAAGCAGGGAATGATGTGATCCACGGGTGCTGTGGTGCTCCGTGTTCTTTGACATCTCAGCATCCCGTCTGCTGCCTTCAGCTGCGCCCAAGTGACCAAATGCAACACGTGCTAATGAAACAAGCAGCCGTCTTACCTTTCACACACAATTAAGGTAGGCTCTGATCGTGCTGTCAGGTTGATGGTGTCCATCCCAAAAGGGAACAGGCCTCCAATGATGTAGTCACCAGGCCTCCTAAATTGAGCCGAGAGGCAGCTGGGCTTGAGGGCTGCTGCGCAACCAAAGCTCATGCACAGCAGCAGCTCAGGGATCATAATCTCCCTATTTGGGGGTGAAAACATTTCATGAAAGCATTAAAATGCAGGAGAGCAAATGGGGGCAGGGGATGCAGTCTCAACAGTTTCCTTGAAATCAGTTTAAATAGAACCCAGGGAGATGGAAATAACACAGAGGAATTTGTTTAGCAAACTGCATTGAATGTGTAACTCGATGTTGAGTGGCAACAGTCAAATAGGCAGCAGGACTCTGGGTGTGCTTGTTTGCAAACCACTGCCTCATCCTGCTGTGCTGCACGCAGGCAGTGACTTAAGGGCTGTATTGCTTCCCTCTGCCCCCCTCCTTGCTGGGGCTGTGAGTTATTGAGTTATCCCAGAACAGCTGGGGGTGCTTGATGTCATTTATTGTTTTATTTTAATTGAAGGTCACCTCGTCACAGAGATTCCTAAATCCTCCTCAGGACATCATAAGGATGCAGCAGTGCAGACCCCATCTGGGATGGAGGTTGGTGAGCTGTTAATTGTAACTGTACCAAGATCTCCTCCAAGTCCTTACTGGCCAATCTAATTATTTCTCCCACTGAGCTTTGACGTTAACTTCAGCTTAATGACATAGGTATCAGTTGCCCAAGACAGTGGTTTAAGTTCCTTCATGGTTTGCGTGCCTTTCTGTCAAGTCTAAGGGAAAGCAGGATGGCTCTAAACAGAAAAAATTCATTTTACTGTATTTCTCTGACTCACATTTGTACCATATCACAGACATTGCTCCTATACCTCCAAAGTGACACAAGGCTGATCTTCGTTCTGCATCTTAGGAAGTCGGTCCCATTGTACAGGTAATACATCAACATCTCCTTGAGGATAGCCTTACAGATTTCCCTAACCTTTTAGTAGAGTGTTTAAGCCTTAAAATTAAGTTTTAATTATCAGATGTCACTTTAAATGCCTTTAATGGAAACGTAGCTGCACGGAGCTCTGAGTAGGATGGGAGGTGCTGGTGAGCAGTTGTTCTTCCAGGTGAAATCCAGGCGGCTCACTTCGGGATGGGAGATGGTTTGTGTGATGGACTTTGTGCAAAACATTCAGACTCCCTCTAGTGAACCTGCGTGTCGTTGCAGCTTTCAAGGATAGAACTCGCTGTAGATGAAGGGTTCTTTTGCTTTGGATGCGGCTGTATCAGTGACAGCAGAACCTCTGAACCGGGTCAGAGCTCGGGACCTGAGTTATACTGTGTGTCAGTGAGCTGGGGCTGCTCAAAAGGCTCCTGTCATTTAGAAGCAGGGACATTTCCTAGGGACCCCAAGTGAACGCCGTTTGCATTAGGGGCTACTTTGTTCAAATGAGAAAATGCAGGCTGATGGAAAACTGCCCTTCACTTGAAGCACACATTGCACAGAATTTTTGGTAATGAATGCACAACAGAGCTTTTCCCTGCAGAGAAACTTTGATTCTTTAATTGCAGAACTTCATTTTCAACAGTAATGCTTGCCTCCTACAAGGAACGGCTGAGACTAAATGAGACAATGCCATTCCTGCATTAAATCTACAAGACATCAAATATACCTTCATTTGACACAGATTATTTGATATAATTTAAGGCATTTAATACACTTTACCAGCTGAAATACCAGCACCATCTGTAATCACAGAGCGCAGCAGGAAGTATTTTGTATATGGTGGTACTGCTCCATTTTAATCTATGGACTTATTCTATTGAACTGTGTTATTTTTGAAGTGGCTTTGGCAGAAAGAGAGTATTTGTCTTTACAGCATAGCAGCCATTCCCCCATTTAGGATGTACAGGCAAATTCTCAGTACTCCATCTGGGTTACTTCTGATGTTGGTTTCACACCTGATCAGTGAATGAGAGACTGCTGGTGAAAGACAGAGATGAACAGATAACACTGTAACTCATCTTTCTTCCAACACTGCAAGAAAGGAAAGCATTCCTGTAAGGGATACTCTCTAGCAGCTTGTTAATCATGTAATGTAGTGCCCAGCTGACCCCAGTGAGGTAACAGTGATTTCCTGAATCATGCAGTGTTACTTCAAGCCAAAGTGGCTCTTAGTTGAGAGGAAACCAAAACGCCATGGTCTGTGGGATTCTCCCCCAGCTACTCATGTCTTCCTGAAGTAAAAGAGTTGTGCTTTTTCAGCTCTGAAGAAGCTAAGTAAACTCAATTTTACATACTTCATACATAGATACTGGCTATTATATGCAGTGATTGTAGTTAGAGAAGTTACTTTTGTAGGCATTTGACACATTCATTAAAAATAAATAACAAATGACCATTTAGAAGCAAGGCTAAGAGAAGAAACACAGTCAGCTGCCTTAGCTGGGTATGTAGTGCTATGTAGGACACGGGAAGAACTGGTCCACGCCCCAAGACACACAAAGGACAGAAGAAACAATGAGCAAAGCCCTGCAGGATGGATCCATATGGAAAGCAACAGTCTCTTGGTGACCACAAGGGAAGGCAGTTCTTTTCAGACAGGAGGATTCTATTCTGAGTGCTAAAGCAGGTTCTTTTCAGACATGTTACCCAGAATTCTATTTTGAGTGCTAAAGCAGAGTGTGGGGGGGAAAGCAGCAGCTCCAAGGGAACAGCTTGTAAACAAAGTGGCCAAGTGAGCTTAAGGTGCAGGTGTTGAGATATCCGGTGTAAGGGAGTTACCTACAGCCTTTGGTGCTGTCACCATTCCTTGGTACAAATGCTGAAGGTGCAGTTTGGCTTAGCAAGACCCCAAAGCCTCGCACTGGAGCCTGGGGGAGAGAAGCATTCCCTTGACTGTGCTTGTGGACACTTTTCCTCCCCGTAGAGCTGAGGTGATGATATATGTATAGAACTGTATGTATTTTAGTGCATTTCCTTTTTGTCATCAGACCACAGCTGAGCACCATCAGCTCTGTGTGGGTGCAAAAAGGGGATGGGGATGTGCTCAGGGCAGGTTCAGCAGGCGGTGCTGCTCATACAGCTCCTGCGTGATGCCGTACACATCACGGATGTGGGGCAGAGCATCGCCCAGCATCTCCACAGCCTCCTCGGGGCCTCCCACATTCATCACCTCCAGGAAGGCGTCGCGTGACGGCAGCGCACAGAACGCCACGACGGCAGCCTTGCGGACGACCCAGGGGTGATAGGCAGCCAGCGAGGCGTTGTAACTGTCCGTGCAGATGGCTGACGTGCTGGCATCCTGCCGGGCAGTGCGCAGCCCCTCGAGGAACAGCTGCAGCCAACGCAGGGCACGGTGCAGCCGCAGAATGGTCCTGCAACCTGAGTCAGGGTGGGACGATCGCCGTTGCAGGTCGACCAGCCCTCTGCTCAGCTCGTAGCTCACCATGGACTGCAGAGTGCGGTACTCTTCCCGCTGCTCCCCGCCGCAGTAGCTCTCCATGATCTGAATTTTGGTCACCGCGTCCTTGGAGATGAAGGAGAAGATGGCGCCCAAGCCGTTCAGGAAGCTGAAGGGATAAATGGAGTGTATAGAAAGCGGTGGCTGCCAAGCGTGTATCATAGAATCACAAGGTTGGAAATGACCTGCAAGATCATCTAGTCCAACCATGCTCCCATCACCATTGCGACCACAAGCACTAAACCACATCTCGCAGCTCCTCATCCGGGCTCCTCTTGAACACTACCAAGGATGGCGACTCCTCCACCTCCCTGTGCAGCCATTCCAGCACCTGACCACTCTCTGAGAGAAAAAATTCTTCCTTATGTCTAACCTAAACCTCTGGCACAACGTGCGGCCGTTTCCTCAGGTCCTGTTTGTTGCCTGGGAGAAGAGGCCAAACCCCTCCTCACCACAGCCTCCCTTCAGGTAATCATAGAACGCAGTGAGGTCTGCCCTGAGCCGCCTCTTCTCCAGACCCAACAATCCCAGCTCCCTCAGCCTCTCCCTATAATACTCGTGCTCCAGACCCCTCACCGCTTTCGTTGCCCTTCTCTGGACACGCTCCTCAATGTCTTTTTTGTAGCGAGGGGTCCAAAACTGAAGGCAATACTCGAGGCGCGTCCTCACCACTGCCGAGTACAGCGGGACGATCGCCTCCCCGCTCCTGCTGCCCGCGCTCTTTCTAAAGCAGCCCAGGATGCCGTTCGCCCTCTCGGTCATCTGCCTCACGTTCGCAACGTCCTCCCCGCCCGGTCCCGCACTCACCGCACGAGTCCCCGCCAGCCTTGGAGGTACGGGCCCAGCAGCACCTCGCGCTGCTCCGTCACGCACGTCTGGAAGGCGGCCAGCACCTCCCGCAGGCTGAAGGCGCCCGGCGCCGCCGCCATCTTGCCGGGCGGGAGGAACCGCGCGTGCGCGGGACGTTGAGGAGAAGGGCGGGAGCGGGGCGGCACCGACTGAGCGCCGTCCGCCTGCGGCTGCGGGCCTCGGTGTTTTGAGCGCTGCTTTCGGAACGGTTTCTATCCAGATCGAAGCTAAACCCCCTTCTATTTGAGCAGCCCTTGCAATGTGGCCGTAAAAGAAACCGCGCCTCCGGGCCTCGCCGCCTGGTAGGCCATTTCCAGAAGAACCCGGCCGCGCTTTGAGCTCTGAGGGGGGTGAAAATGCCCGAAATCAAGGTGACGCCGCTCGGTAAGTGCCGCCTTCGGGCCCCCGCCGTGGATCCGCGCCGAGCGTTGCGGAGCAGCCGCGTTATGGCGCCCCCTTGACTCGCTGCAGGCGCCGGGCAGGACGTGGGGCGCAGCTGCATCCTGGTGTCCATCGCGGGGAAGAACGTGATGCTGGACTGCGGGATGCACATGGGCTACAACGATGACGTGAGTACGGCAGGGAGGAGCGCACGGTTTATCTGTTCGTAGGCGGCGCTGGTTGTCCTCTTGTAGGATCGTAGCGCGGCTTGGGTTGGAAGGGACCCTAAGGATCATCTCGTTCCAACCCCCTGCCACAGACAGGGCCACCAACCTCCACATTTAATACTAGACCAGGTTGCCCAGAGCCCCATCCAGCCTGGTCTTAACACCTCCAGAGCATCCCCTGCCTCTCTGGGCAGCCTGTTCCAGCACCTCAGCACTATCTCTGTGAAGTACTTCCCCCTGACATCCAATCTAAGCCTTCCCTCCTTGAGCTTAAAATCGTTTCTCCTGTCTTATTGTTATCTACCATTGCATAAAGTTGGTTCTTCTCCTTTTTATAATCCCCTTTTAAACACTGAAAGGCCTCAGTAGGGTCTCCGTGCAGCTTTCTCTTCTCCAGGCTGAACAAGCCCTGCTCCCTCAGTCTGTAGAGGAGCTCATCCTTTTTCCTTCTGACTCTTCCTGCATGTGAGTGAGTATCCGTGGCGTTGCCTGTA